AAATAGGGCTGATTGTCGTAAGGACAAAGTTTTGAAATATTTCCTCAAGGAGATAATTCTTTTCAGAAACAGCCACGGAGGAAAACCTATTCCCATGAAATACTGTCAGGAAATAATTAATCTGTGAAAGTTTTGAATTACACCATGCAGGAAAACACGAGCGTCTTAGGACAAACACTCAATATTAATTTACATATATAGGATAATCCATTGAACTGAACAAAATTGATAGTTTGAAGTTGCTGTCACACCAATAGTATTTCAAACTGCCATAAGTAGTATGTATATGTATATGTCCAGACTCGAATATTTACAGACCGCCGTCACAAGCTGGAATATTGCTGTGTGCGGCGTACAACAACAAACCAACCAAACCAATCTTGCTGTGGAAGAGTGTTCTGTTGGTTGTTGCTGTTGTAAGTTTATATATAAGTTACAATAAACACAACATATTTCAATATTTCAACAGGTTTTCCTCGGAAATGATTTCAGCAGGACATAGGTCAGTATCCCTTACAAACGATGAGTGTAGCGAAGTAGGCGGGCGTGAAGAAGACCTGTTCCGTCCACTCAGTATCCGCATCTCTTTCTCGCCCCCACGATCCCGCGAGCCAACCCGCGTTGCCTCATCCTCTGTGGATGTAGCATGTGCTGCCAGGAAGCAACATGGCCGTTACAGGCAGACGCGGTGGCGTGTGAGATCCGTGTGTGTTAGTTGTACCTGTCGAGGGTGTTGTTGCTGTGGAGGATGTGTGTGTGTGTGTGCGTGTGCGTGTGCGTGTGCGTGTGCGGGCGTGCGCGCGCGCGCGTGTGTGTGGAGTGAGTATTAGCGCTGAGGTGTGTGTGTGTATGTGTGTGTGTGCGGAGTAGGTATTAGTGCTGAGGTGTGTGTGTGTATCCGTGCTTAAGTGTGTGTGTGTGTGTGTGTGTGTGTGTGTGTGTGTGTGTGTGTGTGTGTGTGTGTGTGTGTGTGTGTGTGTGTGTGTGTGTGTGTGTGGAGTAGGTATTAGCGCTGTCGTGTGTGTGTGTGTGTGTGTGTGTGTGTGTGTGTGTGTGTGTGTGTGTGTGTGTGTGTGTGTGTGTGTGTGGAGTGGGTATCCGTGCTAAAGTGTATGTGTGTGTGTTTGTGTGTTTGTGGTGTGGTTATCAGAGCTGACGTGTGTGTGTGTATGTGTGTGTGTGTGTGGAGTAGGTATTAGTGCTGACGTGTGTGTGTGTGTTGGGGGGGGGGGGGGGGGGGGGGGGGAGTGGGTATCAGTGCTGAAATGTGTCACTGTCGAACATGTTGGGTGTGTGTTGTTGCTGTGTGTGAGTGTCACTGTGGAACATGTTAAGTGTGTGTTGTTGCTGTGTTAGTCACCGTGGAACATGTTGCGTGTGTGTTGTTGCTGTGTGTGAGTGTCACTGTGGAACATGTTAAGTGTGTGTTGTTGCTGTGTTAGTCACCGTGGAACATGTTGCGTGTGTGTTGTTGCTGTGTGTGAGTGTCACTGTGGAACATGTTAAGTGTGTGTTGTTGCTGTGTTAGTCACTGTGGAACATGTTGAGTGTGTGTTGTTGCTGTGTGTGAGTGTCACTGTGGAACATGTTAAGTGTGTGTTGTTGCTGTGTTAGTCACTGTGGAACATGTTGCGTGTGTGTTGTTGCTGTGTGTGAGTGTCACTGTGGAACATGTTAAGTGTGTGTTGTTGCTGTGTTAGTCACTGTGGAACATGTTAAGTGTGTGTTGTTGCTGTGTTAGTCACCGTGGAACATGTTGCGTGTGTGTTGTTGCTGTGTGTGAGTGTCACTGTGGAACATGTTAAGTGTGTGTTGTTGCTCTGTTAGTCACTGTGGAACATGTTGAGTGTGTGTTGTTGCTGTGTGTGAGTGTCACTGTGGAACATGTTAAGTGTGTGTTGTTGCTGTGTTAGTCACTGTGGAACATGTTGCGTGTGTGTTGTTGCTGTGTGTGAGTGTCACTGTGGAACATGTTAAGTGTGTGTTGTTGCTGTGTGTGTGTGTCACTGTGTAACATGTTGAGTGTGTGTTGTTGCTGTGTGTGAGTGTCACTGTAGAACATGTTGAGTGTGTATTGTTGCTGTTGTGTGTGTGTCGCTATGGAACATGTTGAGTGTGTATTGTTGCTGTCTTAGTCACTGTGTAACATGTTGAGTGTGTGTTGTTGCTGTGTGTGTGTGTCACTGTAGAACATGTTGAGTGTGTATTGTTGCTGTGTGTGAGTGTCACTGTGGAACATGTTGCGTGTGTGTTGTTGCTGTGTGTGTGTCACTGTAGAACATGTTGAGTGTGTATTGTTGCTGTGTGTGTGTGTCGCTGTGGTACATGTTCAGTGTGTGTTGTTGCTGTGTGCATGTGTCACTGTGTAACATGCTGAGTGTGTGTTGTTGCTGTGTGCATGTGTCACTGTGTAACATGCTGAGTGTGTGTTGTTGCTGTGTGTGTGTGTTGCTGTGGAACATGCTGAGTGTGTGTTGTTGCTGTGTGTGTGTCGCTGTGGAACATGCTGAGTGTGTGTTGTTGCTGTGTGAGTGTCGCTGTGTAACATGTTGAGTGTGTATTGTTGCTGTGTGTGAGTGTCACTGTGGAACATGTTGGGTGTGTGTTGTTGCTGTGTGTGAGTGTCGCTGTGGAACATGTTGAGTGTGTGTTGTTGCTGTGTGTGTGTCACTGTAGAACATGTTGAGTGTGTATTGTTGCTGTGTGTGTGTGTCGCTGTGGTACATGTTCAGTGTGTGTTGTTGCTGTGTGCATGTGTCACTGTGTAACATGCTGAGTGTGTGTTGTTGCTGTGTGTGTGTGTTGCTGTGGAACATGCTGAGTGTGTGTTGTTGCTGTGTGTGTGTGTTGCTGTGGAACATGCTGAGTGTGTGTTGTTGCTGTGTGTGTGTGTAGCTGTGGAACATGTTGAGTGTGTATTGTTGCTGTTGTGTGTGTGTTGCTGTGGAACATGTTGAGTGTGTATTGTTGCTGTTGTGTGTGTGTCGCTATGGAACATGTTGAGTGTGTGTTGTTGCTGTCTTAGTCACTGTGGAACATGTTGAGTGTGTGTTGTTGCTGTGTGTGTGTGTCGCTGTGGAACATGTTGAGTGTGTGTTGTTGCTGTGTGTGAGTTTTACTGTGGAACATGTTGAGTGTGTGTTGTTGCTGTGTGCATGTATCACTGTGGAACATGTTGAGTGTGTGGGATGCTGTGTGTGTGTGTCACTGTGGAACATGTTGGGTGTGTGTTGTTGCTGTGTGTGTGTGTCGCTGTGTAACATGTTGAGTGTGTGTTGTTGCTGTGTGTGTGTGTCACTGTGGAACATGTTGAGTGTGTTGTTGCTGTGTGTGAGTGTCACTGTGGAACATGTTGCGTGTCTGTGTTGCTGTGTGTGTGTGTGTGGCTGTGAAACACGTTGAGTCTGTGTTGTTGCTGTGTTAGTCACTGTGGAACATGTTGAGGGTGTATTGTTGCTGTGTGTGTGTGTGTCACCGTGGAACATGTTGAGTGTGTGTTGTTGCTGTGTGTGTGTGTGTCACCGTGGAACATGTTGAGTGTGTGTTGTTGCTGTGTGTGTGTGTCGCTGTGGAACATGTTTGGTGTGTGTTGTTGCTGTGTGTGTGTCACCGTGGAACATGTTGAGTGTGTGTTGTTGCTGTGTGTGTATGTGTGGCTGTGGAACATGTTTGGTGTGTGTTGTTGCTGTGTGTGTGTCACTGTGGAACATGTTGAGTGTGTTGTTGCTGTGTTAGTCACTTTGGAACATGTTGAGTGTGTATTGTTGCTGTGTGTGTGTGTCGCTGTGGAACATGTTGGGTGTGTGTTGCTGTGTGTGGGTGTCACTGTGGAACATGTTGCGAGTGTGTTGTTGCTGTGTACGTGTGTCACTTTGGAACATGTTGAGTGTGTATTGTTGCTGTGTGTGTGTGTGTCGCTGTGGAACATGTTGGGTGTCTGTTGTTGCTGTGTGTGTGTGTCACTGTGGAACATGTTGCGTGTGTTGTTGATCTGTGTGTGTGTCGCTGTGGAACATGTTGAGTGTGTATTGTTGCTGTGTGTGGGTGTCACTGTGGAACATGTTGAGTGTGTGTTGTTGCTGTGTGTGGGTGTCACTGTGGAACATGTTGAGTGTGTGTTGTTGCTGTGTACGTGTGTCACTGTGGAACATGTTGAGTGTGTGCTGTTGCTGTGTGTGTGTCACTTTGGAACATGTTGCGTGTGTGTTGTTGCTGTGTCCGTGTGTCACTGTGGAACATGTTGAGTGTGTGCTGTTGCTGTGTGTGTGTCACTTTGGAACATGTTGCGTCTGTTGTTGTGTATGTCGCTGTCGAACATGTTGCGTGTGTTGTTGTGTATGTCGCTGTGGAACATGTTGAGTGTGTGTTGTTGCTGTGTGTGTGTGTCACTGTGGAACATGTTGCGTGTGAGTGGCCATGAGTACAGACTTGCTCATGGAACAGGCACCCAGTGTCTTCTGCTGCAAAGGAGCTGATGGGATGAGGTGTCTCCGTCACTTGGCTGACACTGCGTCATTGTGCCCATGCAGAGTAACCTCCCTCCCGCATGCCAAAACCAATGATCATGGGTTTGAATCCCGGTTTGCCCGGATATATGTCAAGGTTTGTCAGCACCATACCCAGCATGTGGGTTTCACCAAAGTGACAAACATCTAAAACCTCCATCACCTACCTACCACATCAACCTGGCATGCAGTGACATTACTGCAGTCTTTTCAGTTGGGTAGCCTAGTGGTTAAAGCGTTTGCTCGTCACACCGAAAACCCGGGTTCGATTCCTGACATGAGTACAATGTATGAAGCCCATTTCCGGTGTACCCCTGCCGTGATATTGCTGGAATATTGCTTAAAGCAGCGTAAAATCTCACTCACTCACTCATTGAAACTGGCTATTCAGCAGAAAGTCTGTATGAGCGTTATCTCACAAAACACTGGCAATCATTCATTACTTCCTACTTCCATGGCTCCATGACCCGACCGCAACCAGCACAAAGACAAGACTTATTTAGAAGTATTTATTTGATAACAGCTACAATATTATCATGTAAAAGTTAGGAAAATATAGAAAAGGTGGAAAGGCAAATTTCTCCCAGTCACAGTTGACTGACCACACCCAACTTGGATCAACCTCGCCAACGCTGGTGGACGTCACTGCGGACGTTGTTCACAACGTTGTATTAGAGGTATCCCCATGGTGTCGATGGGAGGACCATCCGCCTGACAGGGGCGTGGGCACCAGGAAATGTCCGGTGCTCCACAAGATCAGGAAGGAGGCATGGAGTTCTACACAAATCACCAACTTAATTAAACTGGGAAAACAATTTGGGTGAATTTTACATCACCTTCTTTCATTCAATAACCTGATGGAAAACAAAGTGTTGCTGAAATATTTGCATCCTAAAAACAATAATGGCACATATATATTTGTTTTGCAAGTCATAAGTCAATTAATACATAGGAAGAGTTTCAATCTCAACGTCAAAACATGACATATGGTGAAATAACTTGAATATTGTAGTCTCAACGTCCTCAATAAACTATTGTCAACACATTAAAGAGATTAATTGAATTTTGAGAATAAAATCTTTTAAATGTGTGCTGGGAAAAGATAACTGAGTATTAAAAATAAAAAAATAATCACATAGGTTCAAAATATGTGTCACTAATTGTTTTCTTTGTTTCCCAACAAGTTGCATGCATTCCTAACTACAAGAGTTATCTCCCCACAACCTTCACACAGAGCTGGCTTATACAGGCCGGCAATAACAACATTGGGAGTAGATAATGACGTCTTGCAGGGTCAGTAGTTGACCACATACTGACCGCCAGCAAGGAAAAGGCAACAAAAGTCTCACAGTAGTGTATATACAAAGGAACAAGGCTGATATTTAATAATACACGACTTCAACCTCAAAATAGAATTAATTTCACACATACTTATAATAGTGTAAATGACATCATTTGGAATGGTAAATATCGGACATGAGTTTTCAAACAAAAAATTATAGACAAATATAAAGTATTATGCTTCCTACTCTACCACGACAAAGACGACTAGTTCAATGGAATTCTCCTGATCCGTATACGTCCGACTAGGGACACTGGTTAGACTACCGCAGTGTTGAGCAAAGACTGCATGGCACCAATGGACATGTTCACAACAAAACAATGAGAAATAAATAAAAACAACACAGTCAAGTAAGCGAAGTCAGAAACCACAGGGTCCAAGTAACTCCCCTGCCGGACTTCGACCATGTGCAGCCAACAGGTGAGTAAGATGCACTAATCCTAAGCAGAGGAATGTTGCACTAAATGCAACCACATGTTCAAGTTGCACTAAATGCAACTACATGTTCAAGTTGCAATAAATGCAACCACACGTTCAAGTTGCACTAAATGCAAACACATGTTCAAGTTGCACCAAATGCAACCACACGTTCATGTTGCAAGTTGCACCAAATGCAACCACACGTTCATGTTGCAATAAATGCAAACACACGTTCAAGTTGCACTAAATGCAACCACACGTTTACGTTGCAAGTTGCACCAAATGCAACCACACGTTCAAGTTGCACCAAATGCACCCAACCTGTAAAGTTACACTGACTAATTGCTGTTGCAACCCCATTATTGCACAAAGTGCAACCAATCACTAGCATCGGTTGCACAATATGGTGCAATATCCACAGCGTACTACTTCCTGTACCAGGAGTGTGCGCATAGTTTCTGATCTAGAAGTGATTAAAGGGTATCTCAAACCATTTTCTGTTCTCGTAGTTCAATACATGTACTATAAACAAAACACACAAATTCCACAATAATGTCCTTCAAAATAATTATTCACTACATTATTTTGTCATGCATTTTCAAAGTTTAATCTTAGCTACATCCCCTGGATGTGATGGAATATGATTTGTCATAAACCCTTTGGTATTGGAAGTCCTGCACTATTATTGCACAAAGTATATACTTGTAGTGAAAGCTAGTTGCTATGGATACTAGTTTCAAGCATGAAATAAAACGGTGACATGTTCCCATGTAAAAGATGCTGATTCATCTATCTGTGCATGTATATATACACTTGTATACCATACAAGTTATCACCTAGCAACACAAATAATGCTAGAAAAACTAGAATCTAAAAACACATTGTAAGAAATAGTTCAATATTATGCTCATTCATGCATATGATAAAAGGTTTGAACATTGCTCGCACATACTATTCTACACACTATATCAGCTAGCAGATTATATGCATTTGAAAATAAACAAATCACTGTCTACAAATGTCTACCTTAGCTTACAGAGATCTCGGGAAAGGTCATTGCACGTTTCTCTCGATGACATCTGACTAAGTGATGCAGAGAGAAAAAGGACTTGGAGCGACTGATTTTGAACAAAGAATCCTAGTTTGTTAAACACAGATTCATATTCTCCCTATTCTCCATCTTTCAAGTCAGCAACAATCGTCTGAACAAACATCTAAAAAATTACAAAGGTAATTCGTTTTTAGGTAAATAATGAACAGTTAAACTAAAAATACCATGAAGGAAAAAGCCAGGATTTAAAACATTTATACCGTGTGACTGAGTTTCAGCGCATTGATGTTATTCTTTGTTAAATTGACGAGTACAATCTTCGTTACCTCAAACCTCTATTATCAATTCTGTTAATTTAAATTTAATGTCTGTTAATTGAATACCGCTGTGTGAAAGAAGGAATAGACATGAGTTATCTGATGTTCAAAATCAGTACTTGGCCTTTATGGGATGAGGAGGGGTGATAGCTCCAAATATTGTGAATATGAGATTATCTAACAATGAACATGTTTGAGATTATTACAGAATTATTAAAATAATTACATATCAAGAAAACATGGTCAACTCCTAGCTTGATTTTAGTTGAAGCCCTTTAACTAACAAAAATATGTTGAATTAATTTGATCTAATTATTACGACACATTTTGATTATGTTAGATCTAATTCAAAGTGAACTTTCACATATATTTGATTCGGTTGGTTTTGATCTTTGATCTTTATAACAACAAAATATAAACAAAACAAATTCGGTAATATCATTTGGGTCAAGATCAACTTCTGCATTCCTTATAACATTTTCTGATCGTCCTGGAGATTTGAATCAAGCATTAGTTGGAAATTGTATGGAACGTTTAACAATAGCAGATCACAATTTAACAAGTTACCATGGTTACGCATAATGAAGCTTCAAAGTTATGGATTGTTTGCGCAAAAGAATTATTGAGAAGCAATGCAAAAGAACTGGAGAAAAGTGTTATGAAGGTGAACACGGTGATGACAAAGATGGTGTCCGGACTAAGTGTAGACAGTTTAGTCCGAAGCATTTTGTGAGGTCAACAAAAACTATATAACTTATGTGTATATACACAATCTGTCATGCAGATCTGAGAAATGAAAACAGAACACAGATAAACATCATGTACTGAAGGACCAGGATGCAGATGAACACATTGCTTGAAGTGACTAGAGTATGTAACGGCGAAACTCAGCAACAACTGTATGCAACATCATGTCGACCATTAACGAATTAACGACCATTTCTTGAAACATTATGTCTGACTTCACAATTATCTCCCACATTATGCTCCTTGGTGGTATTGCCCACAATATTGGATATTGTCAATTATGCATTATTTCGTGCAATAGTTACATGTCAAAAAACAGTGAAAAATATTTAAAATATTAATCATAGCACTTGATAAAAATTATGGATATTATCTCTGAATTATAAAAAGAGCAATAAATATGCATTTTCCATATTCTTGTTGTCACATGATGAACAAATAAATAAATATCTTTATAAACACATGTTTATATTTAATAATCCTTTTTCAGGGTCAATGTTTGTAACTTCAACTGCCTTGAAACAAGGCACCATCCTATGACGAATCAGAAGCCGTGCAATAGGAAACTGGCATTCTTGCATCTCGTCACTCCAGCTGATTTACGCAAATGGTACCTCTATATGCGATGAAAAATGTAAATTGTCTATGCATCTCCAAGACGTTCCAGCCAGTTTGCTGATTTGAAAAAATCGGGTAATGCGTCGTCCATTCTGGCAATGACCTTATAGATAGCCTTCTTCCAAGATGGCTCCGTATCCTTGTTGGCAGAGATAGCTCGGTAGAATTCTCGTAATGTTGACTGTACCACTATCCGAAATGTCTCTGGCACCTGAAAGAAAAGTAAAAATACTTTACATGTCTTCACATATATATCCTACATGGCATGTAGTCTAATACTACCTTATTATTATATGTTAAGTCTTTTAACTAGATTTTTCCTTTCCAATTCCAAAATACCACTGTTTAATGTTAGATGATTGGCTGCACTGAATAGGCAACTAAACTGAATGAGCTTCGTGATATTTTATAGACAACTAAACTATATTAGCTCTGTGATATTTTATAGACAGCTAAACTATATTTGCTCTGAGATATTTTAATAGACAACTAAACTGTATTAGCTCTGAGATATTTTATAAACAGCTAAACTATATTAGCTCTGAGATATTTTAATAGACAACTAAACTGTATTAGCTCTGAGATATTTTATAGACAACTAAACTATATTAGCTGAGATATTTTATAGACAACTTAACCATATTAGCTCTGTGATATTTTATAGACAACTTAACTATATTAGCTCTGTGATATTTTATAGACAACTTAACTATATTAGCTCTGTGATATTTTATAGACAACTTAACTATATTAGCTCTGTGATATTTTATAGACAACTAAACTAAATTAGCTCTGTGATATTTTATAGAAAACTAAACTATATTAGCTCTGTGATATTTTATAGAAAACTAAACTATATTGGAGATGAACAGTGAATGGTTTCATGGTCTTACACATGTTAAGCAAATTGCGGTAATCAGACTGAATTCCTCAATAACCACCATCAAATCTACAGCCACTTAATGCAACCAGGATACCGGCATCTCTAACTAGTGTACTACCTGGAGTCTAAATTAAGCTCTGCATATTACCAACTCACTTGCACCAAACATAATCTCCCACGCTTATTCCTTCAACATTTCTCGTCACATTTCTAAAGATGTTTGATGTTTAGAGACGGACACAACCATGCTTGATACAAGGAGGCAATACAATAGCTACGAGGACAATGCCAGGCTGTGATTAACCCAGCACTATTTCAATTAGGGCTTCTTGAATGAACAATGTGGATATATACCCTGTTGAGTCAATGATCCTGTTTTGAAAAGGTCACAATTTAACTCATCCTTGTTCTCATTCAATCAAATACATAACTCGATTTATTTTGGGAACAAGCGTTTTGTGAACTATTTGTGACTGTGTGCCCCGTTCTGTCCTGGTTGACCTTGAGTTGAGTAATGAAGCACCCAATACACAGGTGAGCATCACACCTGTAATAACCAATTTCATTCATGACTTCAATGACAAGAGGTGGTCTCCAACTGGCCATCTTCTGCCCGCGTCCTAAGTGATTTCTCATGTTCCACCATCGCATCAAAGCTCAGTTATTGAAGGAAGTGGTGCGCGACGACTTCAACAAAGAACCAACGTCCACACACAAGAAATTAATGAGAAACCTACATAAGCTAAAGATGACAGAATAATGTGTGCATTAAGCGACTTGAAAAACTCACAAACTCTCTGATTGCGAGTTGTATTGTGTCAAGTCCACATGCCTGAAAGGTTGCTTTAAAGACAATTGTCCAATCGATCATTGTTAGTCTTAGTAGGGGGAAAATCATGTAAGTAGTCATTGATGTGGATTGACGATGCAATCTGACATCGTGCAGGCCGTCAAGGTGGCCGTTATTGACGACGATCTTTGATTGAAGGGTAGTCATCTTACATGCTGCAGAGAAGTAGGCAACAAAATGGCAACAGGGTTCTACAAGAGATATCTAATCTTGTTACGCAGAAATCCTCTTAACTCCGAAGCTTGGCGTTCCGTTGCTTCAGCAGACTAAATGTCTTAAGTGGATACCGCGTTGCTACATCTCGCCACAAACTCTCATTATCCCAGAACTTCGCCAACTTTTTATCCTCATTCTTCTTTTTTATCATTACACTATTTTTACCTGTCAACTCTAATTCAACACTTTCAGGAGAATATAAGTCCTTTTCTAGCTCATGGAATAATCTTGTTGATTTTCATAAAAAAATATTGACATCCTTTTCTTTGGAACTTAGAAAATCACCGACAGGATTATGGAATATTTTGTACTTATTATCTCATGAAGAACAAAGATGCTATTTTAGAATGTTAATCCGCTTCCATTAATTAGCGGCACAAGAAAATCGACCATGGTGCAAGACCCGTCTTGTTTCTTGTTTTATAGGTTTGTCAACCGAACCAAATACATCAAATGCTATGTTTGATTGAATTTTTTTTTTTAAAACAAATATTTAAAAACAAGTTTTGTTAAAAATTATATTTGTATTCTTTAATCTTTTTTTTAAAGTTAACCTCCAACGAACCCTGATAATAACTTTATTAATTTACTTTCTTATTTTGACCCCTGCCTCTTGGTGTGTTGAGAAAGTAAATATGTAAAACAAGAAATCAAATTGATTCTAATAAACACAAGAGAATTGTGATTGAAATTAGGATAGATAAAATGAAATTCAAATGACTGATAAAATTCTAATTGGCTAGTATAAACCAATTCCTACAATTTACAATCAAGGGCTTCCTTAATGCTGATAGTCATTTTCATAAACACATACTACTCCTCTTTTGATAGGGAAATATGATATGTCATTTTACTGAAATATTCACATAACATTTTATGGAATCATTTTTGTGTATCATCGACAGATTTTAAAAATTCCATATCAAAATTGGAGTTGTATATTTTGTACTGCAAGATGAAAATACCTCAATCTGGTTGTTGCGGTTGTAGTGCAGATTAAGAACTCGATAGAGTTCCGAGTCTCCCGTCACCACAAGATCCTCGAGATGCTTGCATCCTTCCGCAATCGACTGACGGGCAAACTTCTCCATTTGGATGTAGTAGAACTCTCTAAAAAATGAAGGCAAACATTTAATATAAAACATATCTCGCAATCAAGTGTCTCAGGATTATTATTCTTACAGCAATTTAACACTTTTGTCTTGATTAATTTACATGTAAAATTATTTCATAGAAGTCTTTACAGCATACTTATCATGAATCATTTCCAAAAAAATATAATTTGTTACAATAAACAATATGCAATAATTATATGAAAAGCAAAAGAATTGCCCATAATTAAATATTGCTTTGATTGGTAATGATGTGTTTCATGTAAGTGATGTATCACCTACACAGTACAATTTATTCAGGGCTACAAAACCCAGCAGTAGCTGCGAGCTACTGGAGCCTCATTGCTACTGTAACCAGCTTGTACGACAAGTAACACTATCAAAGTCAGGGCAACAAGTCAAGACCAACTGACGGGCCACAACTCCATCTGATAGCCATGACAAAGTTAAGGACAGACTGGAATTAATCTCAATTAAGTGATAATTTTCCCTCCTCGCTACCATGATTATACTTGATAGGGGAAGAGACATTTAACGGACATTATTTCTGTGACTGCAGCCTCTCAAGCCTCCACACAATGGTGGTAGAATTGTCTCTGTTAGCGATTAGCCCCCGCTTGTGTTTGAGCATAGTTCTGAAGGAGAGCGGTGCCCAACAAGTCTGCCTGGGAACTATAGCGTTGACATTTAACGTTTCCTTCTGGCCTTTCAAATTCAAGTTCATATTTCATGAGAGAGAGGCCCTGCCGATGAGATGAGGGTCGACTTAAAACTGATTATCATTAATATAAGAAGCCAGTACAGGGCTTGTACTGCCCCCCCACCCCCCAGACAACTCTTCCCGATAGCCCCTGTTCCTGCCAGGGCACAGGCAAGTATGGCCTTCATATTGACATCATAAAATGCTAATCTTTTCCTACATGGTCCAATTATTCAATATGAGAGGAGACATTTTATCCCCGGCCCACATGGGCCTAAGTGTCGCCTCTACCGTTTGTCTGACGGAGATGGGGGGTTAATGACAGAAGATCTGTGCCGAGCAAACAAAGGGGTCTCTCTAGGAGAATACGGCTAGTCGCACAAATGCAGGACACACAGCTAATAGCGGTATAATCGGTGCAATTCGAGAAATGTTCCCGTCAGGAGAAATTCCCAGAAATGAGTATTAATATCGGAACTAAAGCAGCGGTGAATAATGAATGCAGGGACACTGGGAATCGGGGACGGGGAGTTTAGTCTTCTGTAAAAGAAAGGAAATATGTTGTGGATGGGGTTGAATCTGAGGCAGAGGTGGCCGTGTGATGACAATCACAGTCACGGTATCCTACACATAGTCACAGTATCCTACACATAGTCACACATAGTCACAGTATCCTACACATAGTCACACATAGTCACAGTATCCTACACATAGTCACAGTATCCTACACATAGTCACAGTATCCTACACATAGTCACAGTATCCTACACAGTCACAGTATCCTACACATAGTCACAGTATCCTACACAGTCACAGTATCCTACACATAGTCATATTATCCCACAGTCACATTATCCCAGTCACATTATCCCCAACAGTCACACATTATCCTATACAATGTTCACCTGATGCTGTCTGTCAGTCAGTCAGTCAGTCAGTCTCCCTTCCACGCATCCTACAATCTACATGTGCACATATACCAGGGTATGAAACTCCCAAAAATTTCAGCCAGACCACAGGACAGGCTAGCTGAAATACTTGCCAGCCCTGACCAAAACCTGCCTGCCCACTATAATCATATGTTTCTCAGGATAATTTAATTAAAAATATGAAAACTGATTGCTTGTAGCATAAGCGCATCGCTAAATGTTAGGTTGTCTAAAAGCTAACGGGGTTTCTTTTTGGTTACATTTTATCATTCATCTTTACATGTGAATTAATGCTTATCATCGGGAAATATTTAGAATATTTTCACCTATGAAATATAACCCGACCGTCGGGCAGGGAGATTTGAAAATCTGGCCGCTCGAGTTGAAATCAACCCGTCTCGGACGGTCGGGCAGGCAGGTATTTCGAACGCTGCATATACACCGTGTGGGGCAGGCATCCTTCACCTTTCAGGACCAGTAGTCAACATGAATACTTCTGTCATAAATTCCTAATCAGCTTCATCTGCCATAATCTATCACCTTACATTTACTATATCCCAACATTTAGTACTCATTCAGATAAATACATATATATTTTGAAAAGCAACTTCTTGATTCATCAAAGTGTTAATTAAGTTTGTGCCAGTCTCTTGATAATGGGGTCAAGGATTGTTTAGCCACCAACTTTGATGTTGTGTGTAGAGGTAAATACTGAATCAGACATTCCCCCAGCATCACGACAAGCTTCATTCATGCGAATCAAATGACTTTGGACAAAATGATAATGTGACCACTGAAGGTAGCAGATGCTCAACCAGCCCCGTGCATGAAGTTGCAAGTTGTCGCCCTTACATGTATATCCAGGAAAGAAAATCAATAAAACAACATTGTTTTCATAAACATATTTTCCTAGTTTCATGAATAGTGTTGAAAACCAATAAACGTTGAATAGGTGCATCTGTTTGCTAACACATCTGGTTCAAACACAATCTTATCTCCACGACTTTACCCCCACTGGAGGAAAATGTAGCATCCCTACAGAAACCTGTTTGTAGTACACAGCAGTGAGACAAGCAACTTCCTTATGATCAAGACTATGCTCTAATGGTTTCCTCTAGGAAGTAACAACACATAAGGCCTGCGAGCTGGCTTCAAAAATATATACTACTCAAAAGAAGTTAAGAACACCCAATTTTTTCATGACTATAGTTAATCCAAATTTTTTTTTTTTATCTGTTTATAGTTGATCTGTCATGATAGATTAACTAAAGTCACATGAAAAAATGGGTTGTTCTTTAACTTGTTTTGAGAAGCATATATCATCATTTGTATAACCCTCGTCACGCCGAAGACCCGGGTTCGATTCCCGATATGGGTACAATGTGTGAAGCCCATTTCTGGTGTCCCCCGCCGTGATATTGCTGGAATATTGCTAAAAGCGGCGTAAAACCATACTCACTCACTCACTCATTTGTATAACCAGTCCTTTTCACAGCGTTTATGCTGTCGAAGCTCCATGGATACCTGATCTGAACCATCGATGTCTGAGAAGACAAAGTTTTCCCTATCATGTTTTAACACTGAATTGTTGACAATGGCTGTGGACAAGTGCATCGTTGTCTACTACTCTCGGATCCTGCTAATACCTCTATCATGAAACCTGCTGATGAAATTCAACACATGTTCTTCGCCAATGTAATTATGACAAAATAAAATCGTTAATTCAAAACCAAGCATACAAATTAACCTTTCGCCATTGATGTCTGTATACACTGAATACAGACTATGTGAATTCTATGTATGCTTCTGAACATTAGCTCATAGTAAGTGGTCGTTGGCAGCACTTGCGATTCTGGGACCTCCTAAATACCTAGTTAATCTTAGGTCGGAGTGATTTCTGGCTGAGGGAAGGCCCAAAACAGGCTGGGGATAAAACAGACAAAGAATATCAGTATCTATCAACAACCTACCCAGTTTTGAATTGTCCTTTATAATAAATATATTATATAAAATATGAAAATTGCATTTTATAAAGAATGCAGTCTAACTCAGAGATGAAAAAGAATTATCTTCTTTGATTCTATCCCCACATTATTACATTTTTGTTTAAAATAAATTTGAAAGTTGCTTTTAAGTGATCTGTCACAGTGAAATATCAGTTATATTTTTGTCAAGGGAGAAAGAATGTTGTAAGGGTTGTGTACAGGTAGCTTGCTGTTTACAAGATTCAGATCAACACAGAGTATGACATCCAACTGTGAATAAAACTGTCATAAACTGTTTACATGTCTCGAGTCTGTGTCACCCGTGACCTAGAATATTGTGACAACAAATTCGTACTGTGTGAAATGACTAACTGGTCACAAAAAATATTCTCGTGGAAAAATTCTGAACTTTAGTATCAAGCTAGTGTCATTTCTAAAGTGATACATATTTTTCAATATTCTCATTTAACTATTCAAGAGGCATATTCAATTTTTCACCTAGGCTATATAATATTTACATATATGCATCAAGGTTTTATAAATGAAATAACTGCCATTCATTAATTTATTATTACTAATTATGACACAACTATTGAGATATATGTCATTTAGTCTGCGGTGAAACAAAGCCACGCAATATGTGCTATGACATCTTCTAAAATGACTCTGTAAAGATCAACGGACATAAATAGATTTATCTTTTTAATATATATAATATTTCTAAAAAGCATACCAATGGTTATTGAGAGAATCTCTTTTAATTTTGTTTGTTGTTTAATGCCGCACTGAGCAATATTCCAGCTATATGATGACGGACTGTAAGTTATCGAGTCTGGACCAGACAATCCAGTGATTGACATCATGAGCATTGATCCACACAATTGGGATACGATTACTGCATCAACCAAGTCAGCGAGCCTGACCACCTGATCCCATAAGTCGCCTTTCACAGCAGGCATGGGTTGCTGAAAACCTATTCTAACCAGTATCTTCACGGGTCCCTTTTAACAAGAACAATATTGTTTGAATAGAATCTAAAAGAACATCCTCTTTCTCATTGTCCCAGCGAGAGCGACTTCAGGTTTTGACTTACAATAAATAAACAAATAAACAATCTGTCTGTCTGTCCATTTATGGATGTGTACTACAAGAACCATCTTTCCAGTAGTGCGGAGACACCAAAACTGTAATAACAAAAGATTTTTGATACCAATGGACACTGATATTGGGTCACAGGTAGATTTGGTTTAATCCTGAAGTCAACTTTTTTCAATATGAACAGTATGAAAGCGTGACAAGTGTTAAGAGATTTATGATGGTAGAAACACATTCTCCTCACAGTTTATGGAGTATAATATCCACGCACCGTAACAGGTGGACAACGATCTCAAAATCTATACACGTACCACGCACAGAATTAATAACCTTGTCAAACAAGATATGTATCTTAAGATGATTATTAACATATGCTATTCTGTCAACAATATGGATCATTACAAAATTATTTGACCCCAAAAATGACTTCCTTTCAAAACCATCCGTCTGATTTCTACTGAGTGAATTATCCTCCACACTATAACAGAATTATTAATCGTCATCAGACAATCACCACCATTAATTATCATGAATAAGATGTGTCATGAATGAATGAATGAATGAATGAATAATAGAGCTTTGCTAAAAATGAAGAGCAGATTCATTGGATTTGATAACAAAAGGAGGAGAATTTATAAAAGAGAATTTTAGTTTTAATAAATGTCATCATTTTCTCTACAAAACTAAGATAGCGACAACCCAAAGAAGTGGAACACATATCACTGAAATATGAACTTTTGTCACGAGTCAACAGACTTGAGTGTTTTGGTATAGATTTATTCAGTGTTTGTTTGGAAACAGAGGTGGCTCAAGGAAGCAGGTAATTTACATACAGGACTGATTGAAGTATTCTACATCATATCACATCCTGCTGTAGTGAATACCCTCAACTTGAACACTGAATGCAGGGCTGAATGTCATCTGAATTCATAAATAAGCCCGGTCTCCATTCTTGCCCTGAATGTACACCCGACACAAAGTTACCTGCATACGATCAACATTGAAGTTGAGCAACAATTCAAAATCTAATCTCTTCGCATATATTTGAATAAATGGTAAAATAGAAGCAAGGTATATTTGCATTTCCATATAGCCATGCTGATCATCTTGTAGGATGACAAGACTGTTAGCTGCGTCTGGTTTATGGGAATATATACGAGATGGCATGGCCTGGAGTAACTTGATACCGCGTGTCACAGATGGGTCGGCCATTGTTGCTTCAGGATTCAGAAAGTGCCATGTACAATCTATGAATTCAACACCTTGACATACAAGAGAAACTTTCACAAATATTAAATGAAAATTGTTTCCATGGTTGAAAGCACAAATCTAATTGACCAACAATATCATTTGAAACGGTTTTTTATCAAGTGAAGGAATACAAAATAACGGGAAATTACTTTCATGGATGGATGCAAAAATACAACTGTTAAAAATGTTGAAGAATAAATTAAATAAAAAAATCAAGTTGGAATATTTATATGAACCAAACATGCAGATGCGGATCTTCATTAAGCGCACCTTAAAAATATACAAGCTGGTTCTTTCCTGGTTTAATTTTTAAGTTCATTATGTCTGCCATGTTCGAGAGTGAAACTGTGTATACTAAGAAACATACACTATGAGTAGTTTCACTACTAGTAGTACCATATTACACCCTCCATTTTTGTATGACATTGTGGGTTTTCAGCTGAAATGGGACTGTGCTAAACCATTACACTGACATTAATGTATAAATTTATTAAAAGTGCCTTCACCTCAGTATTATCCTGTGTTCATTTTTACCACTTGGATTTAACCTGAAGCCTGTTCAAAATGTCTTCCTCTTACTTTGATGAAATGATGCATACAAAGACATACTCCGGAAATACAAACACCCCCAGACAGCACAGATCCGGTGGTCTTAACAAACTTGTGATATTCCTACAATCAGAAACATTTATTTCAATCCCAAGCAGCTAGAACTTGGTTTGTACAAACTATTTTCAGTATCTGATGATGTTATCTCTGGATTTGAGTGTAAATTTGTATCAACAATTGACAAGTGTGAGTAGTTTTCTCCCAACCATTGTAAGTTCCCTCAGGCCCTGAACTGGCATTTCAAGACCCTTGTACAATACACCTAAAGCGTTTCATTTTCATACAAAACTATCTCTCACCTTTTGCTTTAGATTCTTTCTGTCTGAACTAAACTCATTCCTTTTCCTGATGAATTATATTGAATTGTCCAACCCTAATCTATTTACCTCGTGCAGCAAATCTCAATACATGGGAAGCCATTCTTCTCACTGCTTATCTAATAACACTATTTGCGTAATATTTTCCTAATGCCCGTCATCGATGAGTTATGGTCAGGCAGACATTATTGTCGCGTATCACACACCCCTACATTTGTAGCTTTGTCATATCAATTGTAGCCAATCTAATTCCTCCTGCTAACGTCTTGCAGGGAAGCGTTTAGATTTTTTTCAGAGTTATGATAGATTAGAATATCCTGCATAAAAATATGAACTGACTGCAAAGTTTTCATTAGTATTAGTCTTCATCTGATAGCATCTCAAAGCTATCATTTTCCTCCATAAACACGGTCATCTAAGACATATTACTTCAGACATAATGACAGGATATTATTTCCCACACGATCATTTCGCGCATTCTTAACAGCGGTGTTTAAATCGGTTTAGCAGTCTGCTTCATCATTTTGCTAAATTACACACATTCCTATAAGATGAACAAATACCAGCGACCCTTTTTCTCAAGAATGAAACACTACACCAGAATTTGATTACATTTCCTAAAATGTTTCAGAAATTGTTACTTTTCAATCCAAATTTTTCAACTGACACATGTTATCTATTTATCTTTTTCCACATTTCAACGTTAAACTAAAACATGCATTCCTTTAATAATCTCCTAATTTGAATAAAATATAAATTTTACATGTATCAGTGTTAGGTAACACAAGTCACATATTCAAACATTCCATTTAACTTAAAAACACAAATGTTAATCTTTGATTTATTCTTGTGTACAGAAGCATCGAGGACAATTTACACAAGAAGGTCATCACAAAGTTGACGGGAGGTTAAGAGTTAATTCCGTTTCATTTTGTACCTGTTCTAAAGCTTGGCCAGATAACGAGTGGGGGGTCAGGGCTGGGATTACAGGTAAGAATACGGCTTCATTTTGCTCCGTTTCCGAGGGTGGGGGTACCTGTTGCTTGCCAGTGTGGCAGCTCATTGCGAACAAGACTTTGGGGATACTCTAGTATTGATGGAGCCCTACTCTAAATACATAGGGTGTAAACACGTTGAAATAAGCATTAAGAGAAACACGTTATGTACACACAAGTTAATTCTCTCTTCTGTGTACTTTGACTGATTTAGCCTCTTGCCCACACAAGAGCTGGCTTGATACCAGCCACACACCTCACACAACATGTGTCGAATGCTTGCAAGCAATCGGGACACCAATTAACTTCCTCTCATATCAGTCTTAAAGACTTCATTTAATCGTGGGACCTAGCGAACAGAGCATCGTGGGAGCCAGTGAACGGGGCATGACAGAGCCTTGACAGAACCTCAGTTAAAGGGGGAGAAAGATGATGGGAGGACGAGGCGCATGGCCCATCTTGACGTGCTGATTAAGAGGAACAATACTCAATCAATAACCAAATGATATCAGTCTTTTCCAATTCTTGTCTGCAATCATCAAATCACACTGGGCCACAAATGGAACTTTGTAATGCATTTCTCTATGGAGAAAATACATTAAAGATATGAGAATATGAAAATTTAATGTACATTAGAGAAAGTAAATGCCTCTACAATAGCTCTGACTTGACTTTGATGGGGAGACCGAGAGGTTTGCGAATCAACGCGGACAGTCTACGGAGAGAGATCGCCCTTCAGCTTCAACTCACAATACCCAATTCCAATCTCATACAACTTTACAAATATTAGACTAGGGTGATTAAGATGGAGTGAGCAAACACTAGCATGATTTATAGATACATTGTTGCAGAGCGATAATGGCCGGATAACAATCCTAGCCATTACCTCTCATCACTGTCATCAAAGGAGATAGAAAACCAGCCCGGCCTCTAGGACTCAAATCATATTTGCACCATTAATATTTAAGAAATATGCATTCTCAGTAGCAGGGTAGTGCACCAAGGGGGCGGTTGAGAAGCATGGCATATTTGTATAGTATCTCCATCACTATCTGGGGGAGGTTCTGGGACCGACTGTCTCCTCATCCCATCTGTACGTCCCGGGGGACACAAACAATTGTGGCTCTCCAGGACAATGCAGGTTATTATACATAATTCCTGCACCACAATGGCTGTCTTTGTGCGCAGGAAGGCACTGCTACCTGCGTCTATGGTTTAGCTCTCCGCTGAGCCAACCATTTGTTGCATTTTGCTAATACCCCATGCAAGTTCATTAAGGACTTAAAGACCATAGCGTTTGAGTGGCTTGGCTGCAATTAAACTCTGTCTTGCACAATTTCCTACAGCAATCCAATTCCAAATATTTGCCTGTTCCTGGTTCTCATGACACTTCATTTACTGCTATCAAATCTTTGCATTGCAAATTTCTTCCCTTTGTACTGAACAAAGCAAGCCAAACTCTCATTTAAACGAGTAATGGTATGAGCTATCTTTATGATATTTCCTGCCCATTAACTATGGCCAAGTTGCTGAAATGCAGACACCAAAATCAAAAGAAACCGAGGGATGGCCATATCTAATGTTGAGTCACCGGCACGTTGGACAGGGAGGAGGCACAAGTGTGTGCATGCATGCATGCACTCACTTATATAATTGAGTGCATTAACCTTTCTTTTAAAAAAAAGGGAAATGCGATTTTCCAAATGCATCAGGTTAGGGAAAATGCCCTGTTCATTAGAAAATTACATTCTCATTACAATTTGCTGTCGTACTTAACCCTTCTGGGTTTTTTTAAAATTCAAAACTGTCCTTTAATGATGATGACAAACCATGGGCACAGATAGAACTGTAAACAATGAGGCTAGTTGGGACTTACCTGAAGTTGCTGAACCATTTCACCAACTGGGCGGTGTTGTTTTTGTTGAACTTGATGTCGGGGAAGTAGATCTTGAGAATGGCTGAACTTGGGTAGCGTACAAAGAAGAACATCAACTTGGCCTTCCGTAAGTGCATGGGTGTTAGATTACTGGTGTACGGCCGTTAAGGAAGATACATATGTACAAAATGATCAAGCAAATATAATAATGTTTTGTTGTTCACAAACACTGCGCTACCACATAACAAAGATCACATAGTTCCAACACATTTTGTCAGATGGCGGCGTGGTGGGGGGCGGCGGTGAGGGGTTGGGGGGTTGGGGGGTGGGGAGGGGGTATTGCTAGAAGCACCTTAATACTATCTTCCCTCACTCACTCACTCATCTACTTGTTCCTAAGTACATATTTATCTTATTACAGTTGAAATAGCAAGGCTCTCTTTAATTCAAATAGAAAAGGTTATTTCTATTTTTAACTTGATATAGATACAAGTACACTTGCTTCACGAGCTTGCCTTTGTCACCATATCACATGAGGCATTCGTGGAAATGACAAAACACTTATTACAATCTCAACTATTATCTAAAAACTAAATGCTTGTATATTTTGTTGTAATCATGGTAATAGCTCTTAATATTTAATATGCATTAACTATAGAACCCTTTAATAACACTTTCTAAAGAATATGTTGAGAAAAAAGTGTAATTATTTCAATTGAAAGGTTCCACTGCCTATTACAGATAGATAATATTTAGATAGACTCAGCCTGACAGAGCTAACAGAGCATGTGTACGGAGCATCCTCACTCCGGTAAATATCAAAGGAGGGTATTTAAAACAAGACAATTTGAAACAAGGAAATCAGAATTAAGGGAATTTGAAACAAATTATTTGCAGAACAGATCTATAAACTGTAGGCATCATTCCATACCTCAGTAACCATGGAAATGCAGAAATTCTGCTCACAAAGTTCCACTGACCTCATTTGTCTGAGAGTCATGATAAGCATGTGTTATTCATATTGTGAACAATTTCTTAACTTTTCAACAACTTGGAATAAATCATTTCTAATTTTCTTCAGAAGTATAAACTACCACCTGTCTAATAAATTGTCCACATCATTGACATACATTATTTGCAAACACACACTATCCAATGAGTAACTGACATCAATATTTTGGAATGAATTAATTTTTCATACTTTCTAAAAAGAGTTTTAAAGATGAACGTGAGAGAAATATTACAGATTGTTTAATCAAGCCAGTGCCTAAACTGCTTAGTCTTCCATGGCTTCTATCAATTCTTTTGGAACAGTTAAATCTTATCAGGGATTTATTCTCAAAGAGTTTTTAAAGATAAATGTGAGAGAAATATTCAAGGCTGTGTAATCTACCCTGTGTTTAACCTAACCTGGCTTCTATCTATTTATTTGGATTGAAAGGCTCCCAATGACTTGTGTCCTGCTTCTGCAGCTGTAGCCACATTATCACCCCCAAGGTATATTCTTAATTACATAAGTATGTATTCCAGGATATTGTTAAAATTATGCATCAAATCTCTCTCAAATCAATTAAAACCTAATGTATATTTCACAACACCTCACTGTTTAGACAGCTTTCAACACAAAAGAAAACAATCAACGGCCCTGTTTCCAACAAAAATAAAAGCTTGTGCTATGGATCAAAGTGTTCTCTTTAGCATTGAAGTTTTATTAACACACTCCTGCATCAACAAAATGGCTGCTTGTACCATCCCAGTAGCTGTTCATCTACAACAGCACTGAGTAAATAGTTTTACCAAATCAATATAAATATCTCTGTCTGAACAATGGCAGCAGATTTCCTTGTGCGTTTTCTATTGGACTCTACGAGGTCAGTTTATATGCTTCGCTTCTTAAGTTCATTAAACATGAGCACAAGCAATAACATTTATTGATATGGTCATAATTAAAAGCGTCCATTTAAAAGGCTCCCCCACTCCATATTGCTCCATACGTGAAGAGCAAATCATCTCTGTGACAACCGTTAAGAACAACTGTTACCAGAGATGCTCCATCCCTCCAGGGCCAGGAGGTGTGGTACAGCTCTACCCATCCTCATCAGCCAATAAGATTACAGGAACACGGAAAGCTACCAAGCAAATCTCAAACTGGGATCTCGACCATTATTGCCTATAGGTGGCGCCGTGTTGAAACAAACACACCAACCCTCAACCTGTTACCAAAACTCATCACGGAACTGTACACAAGACGGATAGTCCGCTCTCTCAAGTGTAACAGTCTCTCGTAGCAATTAACTACACCCATACTTCACTTGTACGGGCCCTGCGATATGACAGCACGGCTGTGCTAGGATATTAGAAATGAAACAAAAGATGCTTAAAGTCCAGCTGTTGCCGAGCGAGTAAATTAAAGTGACAGTTCTGCTTATCATCCTACTCCTCTTATTATCGCTGTCTGTCGGCAGGATAGGCTTGCCGTAGTCGCTCAACTGTGGCAATACATTACAATATCTTCAAAGTTCATATTTCCATAACCATCCCACACGAGTCTTTGTATATCTAGTCAGAATGATTCAGACCAATTCAGGCCGATTCAGGTGCAGAGTTCAGTCAGACTTGCTATATATTCCTGTATCTATTCTTCACAGTCGACTGACAACCTCAAGCTGTTCGTACTGTCGACTTCAGATAAATTAAAACTGCATATATATGAGAAATATGTTATATGTGATGAAACAAAAATATGAAACCTTTGTGATATACAAGATAATACACAAGCCTAGTACCGTTATCTACTTTCCATTAAACAGACGACAAGCTGTCTCCAATACCTTGACTGAAAATTACAGAAAAACATTTATCTTACTTGTAAATTGCAATACTCCGGTTGCATAGATCAACATGAATTAATAACATCAATGCAATACAACTTCAATATGTTCATAGAGTCTAGCCTTTCCTTTTGAGAGAGAGTAGTTGTAATAATTTGAAATTATAATATCTACCTGTCTATTTAATATCATTTCTGAGGGTTTGGTTGAAACAGCATGTGCTAAGCATAAATAACCCCATTCTTTTTCATAGCCTAAAGTAGACGCCAGTAATAAAATATTTGATGCCAAGCAAAAAACTCTTCATTAACTGATTTTTTTTAAACATATTGAAATTATCATACATATTAAAAAAAACCTATTTAATGAACACAGAATTCATTTTTAAAAAACATTGAAAAGTACCTTTATATTAAAACAAAAAGCATAATTTTTGAACCAATAACTTCATTTTGAAGGGTGATTTAATTGTTACACCATTCCCAATCTTAACTGTCTACGTCTGGAAAGATATTCGTTCTACATTTATGACATCTGTCCCATATCGGACACTGAATGAATACCAGTTGTTGAATGCCAATAAGACCTCAGGAGAAATCCAAGTCGTTTGCGATGTCAATCGCTATCACTGTCTATTTCTCAGCCTTGACAAAGGTCCTAACTCATGTAACTACTGATATTGATTAGCATTATGTGCAAAACACACAATGTCTTGTGATTGTATAGTTCTCTCTAATTAAGACTAGCAAGCAGGTAGCACCTTTGTTTAGCCCCTTGGCCAAGGAGAAAAGTAATTATCTCCTTTTGTGGAGATCTACCTGTGTCATTGCAAGGCATTATGGGACAAAACTGATTTCCAGATGCTGTGCACAAGTTGGCTATTGTGGTGTGAATATTTCCAGGGAGTTTACACACCATTAGAAAGTGAACAGACTCCAATAATCAGATACCAGCCGGTAGCTTATGATCAATGGAGAGCATTTGTGGAATATAACTTGAATAGAGAGAGCTTTGTTGTCTAATGTTGCCGCCTTGTAATGGCACTTGTTAGACTGCAGACATACACACATAGATTGTTTATTTGTCTACTTGTAACACCTACACTGTAAGTTAAGACAGATAGTCAATACCACACAAGGCAGTTACTCTCAGATGATTATTCTCCCACAATGGTCAGATATAATCTGTAGATAGTCAATATGTCTTTAAACATTTCACAAATTATTCTTTCCAAATATGAGCTAATTAGTATCTAAACTGTGAAGTAAAATTAATTGCAGATAATGCAAAACATGATTTTATAATTACAAGTTCAGAAAATGTGGTCTTTTGATGGTTGAAACGAATTAGGTTTTCTTATCCTCAGCAAACTTAAGATCTCATTTTGATGCAAATAAAAATCAATTTCATCCATTCAAAACTTAATTGCTTCATAAACATCTGTAACAAAATCTTACATCGTTGTAATCTTAACCAAATAGTGCATCTACATATACATACATTGTCTTTAAGTTTCCTATTTCTTCAAATAATAACGGAATCAGTCACGACACTCCTCATCATAAAATGTTTTGTCATACCGATCATTGCCTTTGGACCATATTTTTTTTTTATCATACATTGAAAAACACGAATGAAAGATAATACATTTTGATTGCCAAGATATTTCAGGGATATACAGACATCAAATAAGCATTACAAGATCACCAAATAGCCGAGACACAATTCCTTTGCTTAAGGACAAAATCCAAAATGCTACTAAGATACATTAAAATGTGAATCTTTTGTTCTTAAGATATTTTGTCCTCATAAAATTTTAAAATTAGCTTTTTATATGCAGAAGCATTTCACAATACCAAAATTTATGAATACAGAATATGACACTTAAATAACTAAGAGAAAGTCTTGCCTTGCAAGGAATTGCATTTCAGACAAATGCTAAATCCATATTTATTGATTAAAAAAATGAAATATCATCCCCTTTTTAGTTTGTATGAGATTATCATTGATTGTTAACTTGATCAAAAGAGGTTATAATTGATAAAGAATCTGAAACAGTTAATTGCTCCGCTACAAAGCTGATGGCAAGATCATAGAGAGCAGAGCCTTGCATGAAATCTTTGTTGAAATCAAGGTGCGAAATGGGTGGGGCCGTGTTTCAATTACTGGCCGAGAAAGGCACGAGGCCCATTTGATCCTGCCTCACATGCTGGGCATGGAGAGGGGTATCGGGTTGCTGTCTTCACGCTTCTGATGAGAATGAAAACAATGAACACAAAGGCAAAATGCACAACTCATTAATGTGAAATGCTACCAAATCAATGGAGGTAGAAAAGCCTTCTACATGGTTCAGCTTAAGAAGTTGCTGCCACCATAGTATCGCACAGTCTTAATGTATTTCTCATGTTTTCCATCGCGGGTGGTGTTACCTGTCTATCGCTTCCACAAAAGATGGCGGACGAGGGGAAATCACGTAGGAAATTATGAAATCTTAGCCGAACAAGGGCGAAGAAAAATTGCATCTGCAGGAAAACAAAGCATTTCTCTACTTGATGAGTCTAATGGCTTCTACCGTTAATGTAGCCTATTGTGTTCCACATCTGAGAAGTGAACCGCGTTAAAATGATCTTCAAGCTTTTATCTTTCCCGCACAAACAAAACGTTGTTTGCTCGCAGGAAACAACGTAATCAATTTAAGTATTTTCATTTACTATCCTATAATTATTCGTTCAGATATCAACAGATTTTGATTTGATAAAATATCGCATTATAAAAATGAACTTTGAGATGTTTCTTGGGAGAATTAAGTGCATTGATTTTCTAGGGTACAGTTTGATGGAAGTGTTTGTTAAGGAGGCCAATAATTAGACAAAGGTCAATTTATTCTGTAGGACACTGTTTCCAGTGTAACTGATACACCGGGCTAGCCGGGTATCACTCAGACTTTCAGACTCTCAGACTTGTTCTACTTATCATAAAAAGTAAGAAAGATGTTTTTATTGCTTGCCTTCATTTTGCCGCTGGCAACACCTACACTGTTCAAACACTTATTTATCTGAAAGTCGGAGAATTAATTAAAACACTTTTGTTAATAGGAAGATTTGCTTTCTCCGCTTTGAAGCATGGAATAAATTGACTCATATCAAAAACAATGTTAACAGAAAATATGGCCAACATAGCAACAGATTCTGATGAGAATTCAAGTTCCAATCTAGATAAATTTAGACACTAAATTTTGTTATAATCTTATGTGAAAATAATGAAAATGTGCATAAATTAACATACAAATTAGCAAGATGATAATTTGGGAAATTAGAGAAATACTCAATCGTTGATGAAACCATCACTTTTCATGGTTGATGCAAGTCATTGTATCCAAACACGTAGCAAAATACTCATGATTTTTATCACTGGATTGTCTGGTCCAGATTTAATTATTTTTATACACTGCTGTCATATAGCTGGAATATTGCTGAGTGCAGCTTTAAACAACAAACAAACAAACACTGTTTAAAACCTGTTTTTGTAAAGGATATCATCTGCATCTGCCCATCCATATCACTGCTGGGAGATACATCAAACATGTCGGACTTCCCCATGTGAGAGAAGGCTTCGGAGGGGGACCGCGGAGAGCCAGAGTCATTGGGCGGAGAGTGGCTATGTAGGCGGTGATCCGGGAAACAGTTATCCCGTAGCGAACTAAAGGCGAGAATGTCTGACTGCTGAAGACCAGGGTTCGGTATGGCGACACTTGTTGGTAACATTGGTGGCAGGAAGTGTGGATATGACTGGAAATGTCGTTCAAGGTCAAGATGATGAGAGGAACTTGGAGTACTGTCCTGAAGAAGGGCAGCTTTAGCACGAGGAGAGAGACGCGTATCGGTCACTTTCGTACGTTTTTTCTTCGGTGTGTTGACTATAAGAGGAAGTGCCTCTGTCTGTTCCGGTTCCTGGGCGTACAGAGGAGGCAGCACTTGTGTCGGCATGTAGTAGGGAAAATGGGGAAAAGGCACATGAGGAGGAACATGTTGAGAACGAGCTACTAAATCATTGTCTCTGGTAATTGTTTCAAAAGCACTCAGCTTCTCGCCGAGCCTGCCCAAAGAGGCGTCAGAAAAAGGATCAGATTTAGGCGTATTGTTGTTGCTCTTACGTTCTGGATTGGGAGCATGCAAAACCTTCTCCACCTCCTCCACTACTGTTTTCTTAGTTTCGACATTGTCTTTCACAGCATGCTTCTCTATCATCTTACTCATCACATTTTCCACCACCTTGGTAATGGCTCCAATTATTTCAGTTTTTAATGAGTCCATCACACTGTGCATGTCTCCAATGTGTTGAACGGAGAGAGCACTACTGGTCAGCTTGTCAAAGCGATCATGGTCCTGAAGTAGCTGCTGCATATGTCGCAAGTCCAACTCGGACCTTCTCATAGGGAAAAAGTCGTCCCGTACTGGTGACTTACTGACCCCATTTTGGTCTTTGCTAGAAATGACCTCATCAGATCTCTTGTGATTCATGTCACCAGATCGCTCATCTGCTGGAAGGTCATCGTCACACAACTGGTCACACTTTCGCTTGACCGCCTGGAGCTGCTGCTGAAGCTGGCGAATGTGTTCCTGGAGGGCCATCTGCTCCACCTTGCGATACTTCCCCTCCGAGCTGCCATTACTACCATCATGCTGCTGAGGCTGGAGCTGTTTGCGTTTAGGTCTCTTGACTTCCATGGCCTTAAGAGAAGGCACATCTTCATTGTCTGATGGCACTTGTCTCATACTCGACAAAATATTTTCAACACGAGCTCTCTTGGCTTCTTTACTGTCATTTGCCTGCCACTCCCCGAAACTTCCATCTTTCTGCTCACCCATATCCTGCTCCTCCTCACCCACACTCTCCATCTCACTGTCCACCTGAGGGTCAAGGTCATCTGAGACATGATCCCCATCAACGGAAACATTTTCACTGTGAGACATCATAATGGCTGAACTGGCTTCAGAAGGATTGTGTCCGTGGTTCATCACATGCATACTCTTGTTAGGATCATTATTGTTCAAGTTCTTTCCTTTGTTCTGAAGTATTTCCCGCAACAGGTGCGATGTATCACTTGGAATGTTTTCCACGGCTGGCATCATGTTCCCGTGAAGAGTCTTGATAGCTGAAACAGGTGAACAATAGGTGAGTAATCATGTTACAACAGTACCTTGCATGCATGCACCAAGAAAATGGCAACAGCTTGAAGGATAAAAAAGCAGCCCATCAAATATATGAAATTAATCAGTCATGTGGAGATGACAAGTTGTACCATATTAAGTTGGAGCTTAGTGAACAGTCGATGCAGTGGTGGAATTTTACTCTCGGCCAATCCATGTGGTTCACCTAAATCTTATATATCAACAGAGGAGGGACACAGTAAGAGATCCTGTATATACAAAGGGGGGCACCCCGAGATGGCATGATTAGCATACCCTGAAGAACCCAAATACCTCAGTCCTAACTAAATTCACTTTTTGTATTTTCAGACATTTAGTTATTCAATAAATTAAGATGTAGTTAAGTTTGACATGTTATCTCTTTTGTTTCAGCTCAATGTGGTGATATTATATTAATTAATGTATCAGAGCAGGGTCCCTCATTGATTAAGGTAGTGTAGATTTGTTACAGGCATTGCTCCTCACTTCTACCTGATCAAGTATTGAATATCAATACTGTTTTTTGTGTTTATTGGGTTTTTTACTGAAAGAATCAGAAATTTACTAGTTTTATTAAATAAATAGAATTTATCAGTAAACTTAGTTAAAACAACTTACTTGAAAGAACTGCAATATTATCATTAATAATTATTATATTCAGATTCTAAAGTGGTTTTATACGCGTGTTAATAACAATCCATTTATAATTGTGAATTTCGACATAATATGAAAAACCATAAATATCGTTCGAAACAATTCATCATGAAGTATATCTCATTTCTTTCGGCACGACACACGTTTTCTCAAGCCAAGTCACGAGACCGCACGTGCGTTCCGTCAACTTGAATGTCTATTCTTAACCATTACGTAATTGATTATGAAAACGTTTATTTAAACAAAAGTGGGAACGAGTTTCAAACTGACAACAAGTACAAGTACACTACATGACAAAGGATATAAATTTCCGGAAAAGATGTTCCCAAAATGTCGACGCATTGTTTAGCAGGCCCCCCAATCAGGTGTCGCGGGAAGAGCACCTGTCTGAGAGATATTTGACGCACGGCACCACCTGGTATATATTACAAATATTCTGTGTTGTAATATCAGAATTTAGCATCAATTGTTCATGTACCCATGTCACAGCGCACGATTTCTCGATCAAATAGATTCAGCTTTGACAATAAATGTAGAAAAATCTTTAAACGGTCATATCCCAATGTAAATCGATATTATGAAGTCAAAACGTGTTCATATAACGGGCCCATATGCATTACAAGCTGAAAAGATGTTTAAAGATGTTGTCAACGCCATCGATTTATCACGTTATGTCGAGAACATATGTTTAAGGTGCGCATGGCGCTGAACATCCTGAACACATACAACCGGGGGTGTCCACTTACACCTTCATAGGCAAGCTGGCTGAAGGCTTTCTCAAAGTGGGTCTTGTTTGCAACTTTGTTTATTCAGCTTATTGACATTAATTAATCGTGTGTATTTTCAACACATTTGACTATAACGAACACAATGTTCCTTGGTGAATGATACTAAAGCTGACTCACTGACGGTCGTACAAGTTAACGATTGAAAAACTAAACTACCCAAGTCCCAAGCCTAATAACTACACGAATGAACACCTCAAATATTAATTTCCTAATTGATCTAGGTGTACAATTGTAGTTAAAAGCCAGCGGCCATTACTGATAACTATACACACATCTAAACAACTCGTTGGCTTATAAAAATGTTAATTCATACATAGTTAAAAAATGAAAAAATGAAGCGCAGTCAAAAGGCTCACGCTCAATGATAAGTTAAACAAGGGTTATTCAAAAAGTCTTTGTTCTAGTGATAACGCGAAAATACCACGCGCATACATCTAGTGACCATCGCGCACCACAACAAAGACAAAACCCCGAAGAAAGTACAAGATGGGCCCCTCACCTTTGACAAAGGCTTGTCTCCTACACCACGCCGTACCCTCCTCAACTTCCAACTGACAACTCGCAGCTGTCTTTGGGTGTTTTACTTATACACGAAGCAGGTCAGCGAAGCGGAACAGTTTGTCATCCTATCACCTCCCTCTCCCGACAGGTGAGAGACACCAGCTACTGACCGCCTCATCAGTTCAAGACACACTTAGTCGCGTGGTCAGTCTCGCGCACCTGCCGTAAGTTCGTGAGCTACCTGGGGACGCCTCGGGGGGTAAAGGTTACTTCAAAGAATACCGATACAGCTCTGTCCACATTAACATCATGTGGACTTCTTTATGAAGACCCACTAGTGTCTGTTATAATTGACATAATGTTTCCAACTGGCTTACCAGATTTTAGAAATTCTTTAATTAATTGTGGACAAGTCTAAACCCTCGTCATTGTACCATTCTCATACTATTCACCTATAACTGCTATTGTCAGATGAAGAATCACCCCTTGTCGGCTAACGTTTGATAAATGTTTTTCCTTTGCATTTTATTCACTTTTATGCAGTAATTTTCAAAATGTACGCAGTGAACATGAAAATCGACACTGAGAACTTAAAGTTATGTTCATAAGGAAATATTAAGTTTTAAAGTCCCCTAAATACTTTTATCAGGAAAGCTCAAATTTCATAAATTAGTTGAATAGGACACAGCAAGGACTTGATAAGATTTGTGATTGGGAGGTTAGTTTGATGTCTCTGTCAGTCGGACGTGAAACTACCTCTTTCTGAAGTTTGCAACTGTGTGGCCCATTTCCCGAAGCAGGAAGCTCCAGTGGAGTACGTACTTCAAACATTCTTATTCTTATACACTGACGATGATACATACAGAACTATTTCATATTTGGGGGAAATAGTGCTGAATCATAATAGAAACATCACGCGCGCCTTCAATTAATATTTCTGTCGCAGACAAAACCCGTTATACGAACTGCTATTCTTTCGTGCATGGCAGTCATGATTAACATCAAATGTCACAGGCGCAGCCAATAAGAATGCAGGGACTGTGGCGTCACACATATGCAAATTTCAAATATGCTTGCAAAGTGCATCCCAAATGCCTGCGGTTTCTACTTTCCTTTAAACGTCGAAACATCGATTGTCTCAACACGGCGTTACAATTTGGATTAATTTTTACCGACTTATATCGTCGGTTTATATCACTGAAGTAAGACAACAGATGGGCGAAATGGCACACGTGTGGATTAAAAATGCTGTGAAAAGAAACTGGGGAGATGAAGGTGGCTGGCTATGTAGTCTATATACAGCAACATCTGCAACAATAGAGAACACTCGCCCACAGCGGACATTTTAGCGTATATGACGCTGCCTTAATTATTTACATACAAATATTTATTTATTTATTTACCTTTATGTATTATTTATCGATCTATTTTCTTGATAAATTCAATTTTCTAATAAAACTCTCCATTTATTAAAAAAAGGTTTATATGCTATTGTTATACACGTAAGCCATAATGAATACTGGTGTTATCAGAAGTAATTCGTTAAATCTTTCGGATGTGGGAATAAATCAAACCTGTCTTCAGTAACTTTTTAGAAATAGTTTCATATTGCCTCCTTCCGTCTGTTGATGTTGCCAGACCAAGTCAGTAGTCAACAATAATTGTGAGACATGATGGCTGTATATTTTGATAAACACTTCTGAAATCTTACAGACATTATTCATTCAGCGTTTACGGCCCTGCAATGAGAGCGCGATCAACAACACTTGAATAGCATAATTAACATGAGTAATTAACAAGTCAATTAACAATCGACATATGCACCACTGTCAGCCGGTAATACACTGGTGTACCACACGCCAACAAGTGTTGATTACGAGAGACAATTAACGTTCGAGTAATTCAGTTTTCTGACAGTCAGCTCCTAAACATGCAGCCCGATGTCGCAAAGGTCACCGTGCATTAAAACATACAAAGAAAGTGCATTCCATGGTTTTCATTCATTTATATGTCTTTCCTACATTGATATACAGATATGTATTTTTTTAATCAATTGTTTCCAACAAAGCCCCTGTGATCTGTGTACATGTTATTAAATGGCTTATTGATTACCACTGTGAAAACAATTAATTCTTGATAATAGTTTCAGGTCAATGCTTAAATGTGAGTGAACCGACCGTCTAACGAATGACGACGTATTTCAATTACTGCATGTAAAAGTATTGTTGAAATATTAATCACATCGATCATAGTATTCAAAATGAACTTCTTAACTTGTAGAAATATCGTGAAAGTGACGAAAGTGACATTATTCAATATTCACACTATATGAAAACATTCGCAGTTAATCTCGTGCACGTCAAAAAGTGACATCAACATATTTAAATGGACACTATCCTTAACCTATACATACGGTAAATTATACATAAAAATATACTGATTTTTTCGATAGGCTTAGATTATTCATAATTTCATAACTTTAAATTCACTGTCAATTTTTCAACCATGTTTAGAATTACAAATCTGCTCAAATACGGTTAAAATATTCTATTATTAATAGTATACACACATTCGTAATGTTAATAGAATCTTGTCTATGTACATCACCATAAACATAAATATTCCCTCTATGTACAGACGAACGTCGAGAAACTCAGAAAGGCTAACTTTTTCGTGCATACAGCAAGTTCATATTTGATGGAGGTTATAGGCAAAGGCTACATACAGACTACCCAGAAACTGTCTTTATATACATATATATATCCCGTTACACACAATGTAATATAATGTTGTTTGATAAAATCGATGCAGGACAGTGACGTATCTGTGTCATCCATTAGACAATCACTTGATAACGTTATCACCTTCATGTTGCATACACGGGAGTACCAATATATATGTTAAACATTCGCGCAGTTTCTCAGTTTCTCATTACAATATAGATGCTGGTGAAGAAACACTTATAAGACATGTTATGAGTTCATTATTGAGAATATATGCACCGCCCTGTAATACATTTTATATTATAGGCTGGTTTGTGTTAACTAAAAATAAGTGGGAAATTGTTTTGCACCATCGAATAATTGCACACACACACACACACACACACACACATATATAACATATATATATATATGTGTGTGTGTTCTTATTGTATAAAATAAATATTTCCTCTCCGATAAATAATTACTCCGTGTTATATCTTCTTTTATTTAAAACATTGACATATTATTTTTTTTTTTTGCCCTTCCCAAGTTTTTACTGGGCGGCTAACAAACACAACGCTTTCTGGAAATAGTTGCTGTGTGTGACGGTGCATCTCAGTGAGGGACGACGTAGAAGCAGTTTCCTAACACAACTATCAACAATCTGTTCCTAGATTATTAGATAATTTCCAAAAAGTCTTTGTGGAAGTCATCTGGAGTTGGGAGACTCGACTTTCACACACAATAGGTCAGTGTAATTTATATGAATCGGTGTTTGTATCACGTGACTGATTCAATTACCGTTGTTGGATCATGTTGTGGCGGTTTTTGTGACGTAACATACATTTTCGCAGTTTGTATAGGTGCGAGAAAGCTGGATACCAATCAACGATGAATGGCTGATTTTGAAAGACGGCCAGATGAACAGCTGACAATAATTCTTGTGAAATTGGTTACTTTGGCTAATTTCCTATTGGTTATAACGTACACGATACTTAATAAGGGTACTTGTGTTAAACTGGTATAAAGTCGCACACTGATTAATAGTATAGTATGTTAAAATTACAGTTTTCTTAATATCGTAATACATTTCTGTGATCTAATTTTCAGACCTAAAATATACACGTTCTGAACATTTTTCCGTCGGTATCATCGAACATGTGATATCGGAAATATCATTAAGGGTTTGGTCGACACATGTAAATATTAATATATTACAAGATCGATAGATTTGGCTCCGGCGAGGGAGACACCTTAAAGCCGATGTGGCGTGGAATCAGTGAGGACGGGGATGCAGAGCGGGACAACATCCCGATCCCAGCTTCGTTGTTCGATCAGGCCCCGGGGCCCTGTGTATGTACATCTTACATGTTACAACTGCCAAGCATGACAAGAGAACACCGCCCTTGAAATATTCGACAAAATGCACCTTAAATCTTTAAATTACATTATTTTCTTGATAGGTATTCATATTTTTAAATCAATTTAAACCTAAATGAACTCGGTGGGGTTCGAAAATGTAGATTTGACTTTTGGATTATTTGTTATGGGATTTCATTAATTTAGGGCGTAAAGGTGATATCTCATAGGTATTATTGAATGTCCCCGGCGTGTCAGCTTTAGGACAGTGGAGTGCCCGTACAAAGTAATGTTCAACAACTCAACTTCTGGACATAAGAATGCAAATATTGATACGTGATATCTGCAGCTGGAGTTTTACATTAGTTCATATCAATTCAGTGACACTGCAAAGAATTAGGTGAATAAGCTTTTGAAATGGAAAGGCGTTTATATTTGACAGGTTTGTGAAATTCTAAAAACCTATCATATCAAGTACCATTCTTCAGTACTTCCTCGCGTGGTATACTTTTCAAGCGTGGTTTAACAACAATGAATAAAAAAATCTGATAAAACTTTTCCTCCACTAAACACTTAAGACTGAATTTATCCTCGTACTATTCTTAGATGTAAATGAAATGGAAATTACCATACGGAAGGTAGGGCTCATACAAATAATTCGCTCGGCGATAAGACGCAACGGGACACTTGTACTAGAAAGTACAGCATTTCGTTATTGATAACACAATATTTAAATGCACATCATGAAATAATGTACTACTTGAAACACAATACACGCTCACCCGCCTATGGTTTTACGAGACGAGAATCTGTTATTCATCTGTCTTAGTCATCCCAAACAGTTACAAGATTAAAACGTGTTGCAGTGCAAAATGAACAATTGTTGTTGATTGGTAGAGTTATAACAATATGAATATTAAAAAATAATGACATGATGCTTCAACATAAATATATATATCAACAAAACTATGAGTATTGTGGTAAGAATGATATAGAAATATTATAAGCTTACTAAGCCACGGCCGGTGGAAATAATTGTCCATGTGTATGCGGCAGCGACAGCAACAGGACGTCTAAGGTATCACATATTGTCTTGACAGTTTCCACAAACAACGCTAGTCCGTTCCTCAACTCCCTTTCCAGGTGATGTCATAGATGGAAATGTGAAAGGTGTCTTACCTTTAATCCATCGATGCTGCCCGTCTCTTGGACTCTGTACTCCGCTTGTCTCGGGCGCACTTAGTGTAGCTCTCTTCAAGAACAATAAGCAACTTATCTGATTGGGGAACCTCCCAACTCTGACCCGTGACCTCTCGTGCAAACGGCGCATGCGCAGCGGAAGTACGGACGACCGCCATGCTTTCGACAAGACTGCGGTATTTACCGCAGTGTTCTAGGTTTTTAACGTCTTGTAGAGCGACCCAAAGGACGCCTAAGGCAAGTTATGAAATGCTTCCACCCCTATAATTTGGATGTTAGCTTTCGTTTAGATACAGAGTTCTGATCGCAAGATAGAAACCCAAAACAATCCGGTTTCCTGAGAGGGTTTGTCAAAGTCAAAATGACATTCACAGGGAAAATGTACCAATTTGTAAATATATGCCCTTGAAAAACTGTTCACTCGTACAAAAAAGTGTAGCCACGAACAATAAGCAGTATATTTAACGTGATACGTTTGACTTGTAGGATTACACTTCGACCGAATTCACACTGCAATAAATGGAAGTGTTCGAGCGTACACCGACAGAGTAATCCACCCCACTATTTGGAAGAATTAGGAAAACGTACTAAAAATGACCTTTGTGATTTGTAGAAAGCTAAAGCATAGCGTTTGCACATCTTCTTTCAAACAGTTAACCTGTAAAGATATGAGTTGCTATTGATACAATAGATTACCGATTTATCTCATTGTAAGGTCAATGTCACATTTTTTCCTGCGAAATGAGGACAGACCTGACTTGACATAGTATAACTGAGTCATGATAGGATCAGACTAAATAGTGCCACAAAGAGAGAGGTTGTATTAGCGTACTACAGTTTACCAGTGTGCAATATATCAGTATTGGGTATACTGGTGTTATTACTCAGCATACATACACAATTGGTTCTTAGGATCCTTGTTTTCCCCAGGAAAATGCATCATGCATCATCTTTATATCAGTGCACACCCAAATAACTGTACAATGTTTATTTCAAAACATTTTACAACTGTGAAAAAATAGTTTCTGTGTTTATTGAAACTACTCATAAGCAAAGGAAAGTGACTGTTTGGATTGGAAAATGTAGATTACTTTTGACATTATTTTGATATCCTTCACTATAAATATGTAGTACAGGTCTATGGCAGGACTCTAATCCATAGCAGATTTTCATTGTTATATGACGTCATACTTGACAGGACGTCACAGCTTCTTGCATGTGATGACGTCATGAAAGATTAACATTATTGCCGATAGACACAGTAATCAGTTGAAAATGATGGAGCCATACACCATAGAAAATGAAGGTTTTCCCATGGTAGATTTATGTTGTCAGATGAAGAAGCTAGTATTGAAAGACCCTAATGCCGAATCATTTTCAAATGATTTTTTAAAAATCATGACTTTCCTAGGGTTAGGTGCTGAATTCAAACAAGGGAAGTGTGAACATATTCAGGATTTTACTGTCAACTCGGCAATGGAGAGGATGGTGCGGAAGGTCTTAGGAAATTATTTCTAGGATGAAACTGTAGGGAATGTTTTTAAGAAAAGTACTGATATGCAATCCCTGCACCAACAATGCTGTTCCAAAGGGAAAATTATAAAAATAATCTTGAGAAATCGCAACATTGATCATCGAAAGCCTGCCACTATATATGAATCTATGAGGTTTAGCACTATAGAAATTGCCGGTTATTAATATTATGTGATAATCTGCCATAGATCAGAGTATGCTCCAATATCTGTCCCTATGTGGAATCTGCCATAGATCTTAGAATCCACCACAGATAGTCCTACCATAGATCTGAGTCCTACATGTAAGTTTTGTGATTAATGCCACAGATTTGGTGTTGGATACAATGTAAACAATGGAACAAATTGATACAATGTTCCACACATTATGATGTGTATATTATATTGCACAGATAACTTTATTTTTAATAAATCGTATCGTTGAACTGTATATTTTTGAAATACTCAGTTGTCATAACAAAATCTTTATATCCCAGATGCTCTGCGGCAAATGTAATTGATTGATTTATGAGAGATCAAGCACAAGTTGTCTCCCCTCCTCTAACCTCAGTCAATACCACCAGCACTGAATAGCTGTCAGCCACTGCGTATGTTGCCTGATAGACAGGACTTAGTTGAATACTGAATTATTACCTTTCACTTAGTGGCATCAAAGGAGAGACAAATGCAGAAAATTAATTATTGTTCAAAGTTGGACTGTATACAAATATGTATTGGTGTACCCTGATGAGCTATGGTCGGCAGTGAGTAGTTGCAAACTGGGGATGCTATGGATGAGTGACCGCTGATCCTGCAGCTGGCTGAGTCAAAATGGATATGCATCAGTTGCTTCGTTTTTGTTTCTTAATGCCTGACCTACCACATTTTTACCCAAAATATAAAAACTCCAGACCTCAAAACTGAAGATAAAGAAAAGTCTGTTAATCAACAGTTATACTTTCCCCTTTCACAACAGCTGTGACAAAGGTTTACAACTAGCTATGATTGCTGCATACAATTTTGCTTTCCTAGCCTACCATGCGATCAGTTGTTTTATGTGAATTTTCTTTTTTTACCATATTAGTCGAATATTTGGGAATTCACTTAAGGTATTTGATTTACTTGTCACATTTATTTCATTATAATTTCATGTTTTGATTAACCTGTCAGTGGTAGAAACTAACTGATTTAGTCAACTAGTCCTTATAATGAAAACATATAGCATACCCCTTAAAATGGCAAATGTCTACTAGTCTTTATGATACCTGAACTATTTGGCAGTTTGGCAAGGACTAAAGGACTAGTGCCAATTTCTGACTGCCTGTGCATCATCATATCATGCTCAACAAAGACCGCCTCCGTGGTCTAGTGGTAGAGCGTCCGCCCGGAGAGCGGAAGGTCGAGGGTTCGATCCCAGGCCGCGTCATACAAAAAGACGTTAAAAGATTGTACTTGTTACCCTGTCTGGTGCTCGGCATTAAGGGGCTAAAACAAGGACTGGTCGGCTCGGAGTCAGTATACTGTGTCTGAGTGGGGTGTTCATGTTGAACTGCGGCATGGTATCTCAGTGAGCTACCACTATAAATCGGCATCAGTCTGGACTAGTACAAGCAGCCACATACATACATGTGCATGCACGTCGCTATATAAGTGCAATAATCTTGGACGCGATGTTAAACCAATTTCACCTCACCACCTCATGCTCAACAACACATTCTTTCATATTTATCCAAATTGTTTGTTGTTTACTATGTTTAACACAGCTCTAAGCAATATTCCAGCTGTATGTAGGCTGCATATCATGTATTGTAACTTTAAAGAGTTGATGCCAAACACATCTGAGTCAGCTAGTCTGAACATGTCAATAGACATCTTTTCCAGTCGATGTTAGGGTCAGTATTATGTTTAAGATACACATACTAAGACTTTTGCAGTGTTAGAAATAGCCACTTGTCCTGTAGTCTTTGCCAAACTTCCCAATAGTTAGGGTATCATAAGGACAAGTATAAATTTTCCCTTTTCAAGGGTTTTGCTATATGTTATCATTATAAGGACTATTGGACGAAAACTGTTAGTTTCTAATGCTGCTTTTAGTAGCTACCGGTACTTCACCGAAAGAATTTTGACTAGAAGCAAACTTAGGACTCGTGGCAATAGTTGCACACTGTATCAATTTATTCCAATTGATGACACTACGTTTCTGTGTGGATCCAGCAGCATCCCATCAGTTGCCTGTTGTGAGTTTAGTCACCTTCTACCTACAGGGATGTAGTTGCCAAGAGATAGGTCTCACACAGAATGCTCTCCTTGTGTTCATAAAGAGTTTACCTAGCCGAGTAGCGAGCTGCACCGTCAAAGATTTCATTGCTACATGCGAAGGGATTGTTGGGTTTGAGGGATGATGTAGACACACTGGTGGCTTGCTGATTTATGGGGGTGTTTAACTTGAGGGGGTTTGCCGCCAACTTGTACCCGAAGACAACTAGCGCATGGATAAGAGACTTTCCTGCGATTAGTCGTCAAACATTGCTTGGTCAAGTGAGTGCACAGTTTACTTAGTACCAGGCTCTGCAATTCGCGGAGGGCGGGAAAGTTGGTGACCTTCTGTTTGGACAGCGTTGTCTGTCGGGTATCCTAACTGCCTGTGTGCAGGGGAGGGGAATGCAGAGATTGCTGGCTTTAAGCTCCACAACACATAACTCCCACTTGCACTTGATAATGGTGGATTTAGGCCGTGGCAGTTGGAATTAATCCCGCTAGGCATCTCATTTGCATAAGTTGTTAGAATTCTTAGGTCAGACTTTGACAATATTTGTAAACCTGGCAACTCTTATTAGCTAGAAGCCCATGCTTTGTTTCCGTGATGTTTGTGCTTGAATATAGGTTCTCGTTAGTGTCCGCCCTCTAGATGGCCCACAACCAAACAGAACAAGATTAAAAGTCTGATTGAGTCGTCTCCTCACACATCGGTGTGCTGGTCACTCCGTCACTGTCTCACACAAACGTCATTGTTGGCAGTATTGTAGCCAATCCCTACATAAGTCACTACATCTTTACACCTGTTCAAGTACACTTGTTCCTCAAGTTCATACCTGGGTGTAATGTGATATTCATCAGTGTATATTTTTATTATCTACCAGGTAGATGTTTTTAACATTGAAATTGTGCATATCTATAATGTTGCTTTAGTATTAGGTGACAGTGTGATAGTTTATCAAGATAAAAATCAAGATGCAGTGTCATGTACTTGCCCTCTTGTTTCTGAAACAAGGGAAGTTTGAGTGTTTGTGCACTCTTGTATGAGAGACCCGAGATTCAATTTGACTGCATGCATGTTCAGCTTGTGTGAGAGAGTGAGTGAAGAGCTGACGTCACATTGGCTGTTTATGTCCTATAGCCACCAGGTTATGTACTGACTCAGATTAAATACATTATATACTACTAAAAAAAAGTTAAGGACTACCCTATTCTTTCATATTACACATTCATCTGTCATGCCATGACAGATTAACTATGGTAATATGGAAGTATCAGGTGATCCTTAACTTCTTTTGAGTAGTATATGCTGTTGAATACTTTTATTCAAAATGCTGATGTTTTTCAAATGGTGGTAGCAGCCAGGTAAATATGATGCATTGTGTTTGTGTATTACAGATCCTGGTGGCTTTGCCTCAAGAGCTCCGTGGTAAATATATCATCCAAAATTCATTCAAATCCAAAGACCTTCCTCCTGTGACTGTTTGCTTTCAACAGTAGTGACGTATAGGCATACCCCTAGCACAAATACTAGAATCCCGACCACCCACTCATTTCCCCTTGGGTCCTTGGTTTTCATCACATCTGAAGTTAGTTGTCAGGAAAAAAGCATCAAAACTTGAATCAAACATTTTAGAGAAAATGTTTGTCTTTTTTCTCCTGTCCGCTCACCTATGTTATTAAAAAACAAATTTATAGTTTGGTTAGGTACCCACAACTTTGATATGATGACTTTGAGATTAAAATGGCTGTGGTAGAAATATTAATATGAACAAAATAATTCTCTAACTAACAGACTGTTGTTCATTGTCTGAAACGAGCAATATGTTGCCAGTGACATTGAGTTGAGACAGTATCTTAACAAAACACTGTGATCATTAAACAGTTGGACACATATTGATGTTTCTGTCCTATACAATCAGGTCTTACAGTTTGGCTGAAATGTTGTTTTTTTAGAAAGATGAAAAATAATTCTGAGCAATACGTTTAGGCCACATCAAGTTCATTATTTGTTCCCGTCAGTCAATATCCTCTAATAAGATAATTTGAGTTTATTAATATACATATTACCTTGTTCAGTATGAGTTACAAACTTCATTCGTATTTTATTGATACTTGATGTAAAAGTACACGATACACATGGGACACAGTATCGATACCTATATGTCAGTGACATGTTACAACCCTGTAATTTTAGGCCCAGCAAAATCCTTAAGTTTCACGTTTATAACCATACCAGAGAATGACTTTTTATGACAAGTGTAGACTGTTTATCATTACAGAACAAGATTTGTATATTTATTCATTAAGTTGTTATTGAGAAAACAGTAACAATGGTAACTCTACTCTTTAAAATAAATTCTTTTGTAAAGCTGTATTCTTGAATCTATTATCTGAATTCCTGTTCCTTGTTCATTTACCAGCTTTGGCAGGCAATTTAAGGGAAATAAAATCACTATTTAGCTTTTGGTTACCCGTTTAAGGCCATAACATTAGTTATGACTATTTGACATGAATTGGGAAAATTTGTAATTGTAATTTCGAAATGTTTACGGACATTTGCGATCAGCAGGCCTAGATACATCTCTGTCTTGGGCGATCTTAGTGCTACTATTGTGAGAGAGCGAGAGGTAGAGCAGTCATAGTTCTATGCAAGAATTACTTTGTGGAATGAACGAAGGGGATCCCGGGTTAGAATTGGTCCCCAGCATCCTATGCTAATCACAGGAGTGACGGTGATGACATGACAACGTACCTGGACAGTGTACCTGGATCATTGCTCATCACGTCAATCACTGGATTATGTGGTGCTGGCTCAGGCTCGAATATTTACAGACAGGTCGGGATATACACACATGCAAACGCGCACACACACATACGCGCATGCACGCACACGCACACGCACACACACACACACACACACACACACACACACACACACTTACACTTGAAGCCAATCACTGTTGAGTAAGAGCAGACATAGAACATTGTTTTTATTATGTGAAAGCAGTGACATTGCCTCCTTGTTTCTTGTCTCGGTTGTGTTTTCAGCCACATCCTGCAGAGCTCTATGTACGCTATGGGCAGCTGTTGACTCGCAGTAAGTTGTCCATAATCAATTTAATTGCATCAATGTGTGTTATAAATCTTATAACTCATTGTGTTAGTAGAGACTGACATGTGCAGCAGTGCACCCTGGGTATATGGTGTAATGGATACGTTTTGAACAGCCGAGTGAATGTATTTCTAGACCCTTGGTAATATAGCGAAGCTCGATGATTTTGCTTCCTCCAATACAACATGTGTTGTGATCTTGTGTATCATGCTTCCTAGTGTGTGTTGAAGTTGACACAGCATATTGACAAGAGAACGCCTGGAACATACTTCCTCAAGCACCCTGGCCCATGCCTTCTACATGATGCTGAGATGAAGCTAACCCATCCCGTTCTGTATTTCTTGTCACCAATTAGAGATAGCGACCTGAAAAATTCACTATCTTTAGTAGTGATAAGTACATCCAACAAAATCCTGATAAGTAAACTATGTTTATAACGAGCACGCTTAAAAAAAATGATGGATATTACCAAATGTTTTTTCCCCTTTCATTTGCTGTATATATGCTGTAAATCTGCTTATGATGAACTACGGTTATAACAAACTAAATTAAGTGGTCCCTTTGAGTTTGTTATAACCGTAGTTTACTGTAAGCAACCTTTGAGTTTGTTATAACCATAGTTTACTGTAAGCAACCTTTAAGTTTGTTATAACCGTAGTTTACTGTAAGCAACCTTTAAGTTTGTTATAACCGTAGTTTACTGTAAGCAACCTTTAAGTTTGTTATAACCGTAGTTTACTGTAAGCAACCTTTAAGTTTGTTATAACCGTAGTTTACTGTAAGCAACCTTTAAGTTTGTTATAACCGTAGTTTACTGTAAGCAATAGCTCTCAAAATCATCCTACCCTTCCCTTTGGCAAGGTTAGCTATGCTAATCAAACATGTCTGGATATAACCTCAAGCCTCAAATGAGGTGTTTGTTGGTCACATGTTTACTCACAGGTTCAGTTCCCCACACAGGTACATTGTGTGAACCTCATTTTTTCTGAAACTGAGCTTCCTCACCAGTCTCTTTGAAAAAGCTTATCTCCTCTGAAACTACATGGCGTGTGGATCTGAAACATTTTGTGAATTGTCCCAGCTAAGGTGTCTCTAAAACTTGCGGACAGACTTCTGAACATGGGCATCATTAGTTCTTCATATTTGTTTAGCGCCGCACTCAGCAATATTTCAGCGCCGCACTCAGCAATATTTCAGCTTTATGACAGCGGTATGTTTGTTGTTTAACACCCGGTCGGCAATATTCCAGCTGTATGACGGCGGTATGTCTGTTGTTTAATGCTGCACTCAGCAATATTCCAGCTGTATGACGGCGGTATGTTTGTTGTTTAACGCTGCACTCAGCAATATTCCAGCTGTATGACGGCGGTATGTCTGTTGTTTAATGCTGCACTCAGCAATATTCCAGCTGTATGACGGCGGTATGTCTGTTGTTTAATGCCGCACTCAGCAATATTCCAGCTATATGATGGCGGCATGTTTGTTGTTTAACGCCGCACTCAGCAATATTCCAGCTATATGACGGCGGTATGTTTGTTGTTTAACACCGCACTCAGCAATATTCCAGCTATATGACGGCGGTATGTTTGTTGTTTAACACCGCACTCAGCAATGTTCCAGCTATATGACGGCGGTATGTTTGTTGTTTAACACCGCACTCAGCAATATTCCAGCTATATGACGGCGGTATGTTTGTTGTTTAACACCGCACTCAGCAATATTCCAGCTATATGACGGCGGTATGTTTGTTGTTTAACACCGCACTCAGCAATATTCCAGCTATATGACGGCGGTATGTTTGTTGTTTAACACCGCACTCAGCAATGTTCCAGCTATATGACGGCGGTATGTTTGTTGTTTAACGCCACACTCAGCAATATTCCAGCTATATGACGGCGGTATCTTCATGGTTCACGTGAGCTTCTGGGCTTTAAAATAGTCTGACTGTTGCCCTCGTCCAAAGCCGTGTCCAGTACAATTCTGCTTGAACTAGTAAGCTCAGCTAATAACAGTCCACCTAATAACACTTAATTCTGCTGAAAGTGATTCAGAGTCATATTTGGACTTGTAGTCCCAAATTTTTTTTATCAAGCTTCAATGTCAGCAGATTTCTATGACCTGGTCTCTCAATTTTTCTGTTTTTTGAGCCAGGTGGCTTTGCCCAGACAGCCATTATTACATAAAATTTTCAAGGTTTTAATAGTACCTGTCGATACATGAAATCTTACAATCTTACATGTGTTTATAATAGTTGGAATATGTTGTTCAAAATCAAACCAAAACGTGTTACGCAGGTTTCAAGTTTGTTTTGTTTTTTGTTTTTATCCCCCGCCCAACAAAGTTGGCATGGGGTTATAGAAACGGGCTCCGTCCGTCCGTCCGTCCGTCCGTCCGTCCATCCGTCCATCCTTCCTTCCGTACTCCGTCACGTTTTGTTTCCGGAGCATAACTCATAAACCGTTCAATATTTTTTCATCAAACTTTGCAGGTCTGTCAGTTACATGCTGAACTGGTGCCTTTTGATATTTAGAAATTTTAGAAATATTTATTTTTTACGTTTCCATGGCAACAAGATGGACTTAGGTTCCAAACTCATCTTTTTTTTACAATTTCCATGACAAGTTCCACCTCGGTTAAAAAAGGTTAGGGTTTGTTTAAATTTAATTATGTCATAAATTCTGCAACAGGGGCGGGGGATATAGCTTCGTTAGTGGCAAACTCTTGTTTGTTTTTTTTGGGGGGTGGGGGGGGGAAATGAAACTTTTTATAATCTGAATTGTGACATTTGTCATGCTGTGTGACGTCCCTTTTCTTAGACTTGTCCCAAGATACTGGGCATGAATAGGAGGAATGCTCCAACTCTCAACCACTAGTTGGGTGAGTGAGTTAAAATTTAATGTCGCATCAATATTATTTCAGCCATGTAGTGACGATCAACCACTGGTTGGCCTGGTTTGGACTCATGTTACAGAATACCAGCATATGGCTTCATAAAATTGCTGTCTATTGAGTAAAACATGGTCCAAAATGTAGCCTGAATGTCAAAGGGTCCTTGTTATAACCCTAATATTAGCAACAGAAAGTGGAGGGTATCCCTTGATTTAAAACTACTATAGCAGCAACTCTGAATGCTCACTCACTCACTCACTCCAACACTCACTCACTCCAACTTGCTCACTCCAACACTCACTCCAACACTCACTCACTCACTCCAACACTCACTCACTCACTCGTGCGAGAAATCCTGAACACAGGATCTGAAACATCAATAAGTATTCTATTTATTCACATTACCTGATTTACTTCTGTGATGTGAACCCTGCACCTAGACATGGCAGCTAATATTACATATTACGCTAACTGATCAAAGGCTGCATTCTTAAGAAGCTACAGCATGATAATAAGGAAGATTAGGGACGGATGATGTGACTTTGTCCCTGTTGCCGTATCAGTTGTGTTAATTACAGATGGCCAACTAGTTGGTATATATAGGCATGACTTGTTGAGTGATAAAGACGTGGGTTGTTGATGTTTTCAACCATCAGCCATGTGTGGCTGCCTGTCCATCAAAAGACATTTATATCTAGGACAGGTGAAGATGGGGGTGAGTCTTCCTCGTTGACAACTGAGGACTGTTATCACTTGTGATAACGTGATGATATGTTGGCTGCACATTATCAATGCATGCATTGATAACGTGTCATTCCTTGAAATTGCACCATATGTCAACAGGCATGTAGCACAATAGAACCAATTATTGATTTGTTTGGATAAACTTGATTTTGTCACAGGTTAGCATTGAAACACCTGCTTAGTATCTGTGCAAATTATGAATATCGATTTATTTGTTATCTGTCGTTAATGGCTAAGCTATTTCTTGGTATTGATAATAGTATTTATTGGAGAAAGATCAATGTATGATTAGTTTGTGAAGCTGGGTTGGAAGAGTTTAATGTTTGAGAAAAGAATTAGCATCCCTAAAAAAACAACCAGGTAGTTGGGCGAGTAAAAAATAGTCTTATGTTTTTTTACTTTTCATTTGACTTCTTGGAGTTGTTCTACTTGTTGAGGAATTTTTATTTCATGAAGCGTGGGTGGTTGTGTGGGTGTTAAAGCGATCCAACAGTAAACCGCCCTAATCAGGTTTCAGTCACATGTTTTGTTGAAATAGTGATGGGTTTTTTGCCACCAAACATTCAAGCGCTTTCAACAAGGGTCATTATATTGATGACCATTTTGATTATCTATTACTTATGATCTGAGATTACAGCTGTGGAATATCGAGCTGTCATATGTTCAATTTTGTTTTTATGAAATCGTTAGTGATATGTTAATAATCAATATGCCCTTGACTTTATTGTGGTCTTTCACTGTTGTGTTTCAGTCGCTCGCTGACATCACCAGGTGGATTGGTGCCAGTAAGAACCTTCAAGACCACGTCTATCAGATGTGAGTAGCAGCATACACTGCTGCAGGTCCTGGCAGGATAGCAAGTGGGCTTCTGTCATTGTAATAGCATCATTGCTGGCAGAGTGCTTCATGTCATTGTAATAGCATCATTGCTGGCAGAGTGCTTCATGTCATTGTAATAGCATCATTGCTGGCAGAGTGCTTCATGTCATTGTATTTCCAATTCAAATTTGAAATCTTATGTGAGAGTGATAGGCCTATGGCGATGTACATGTGTCTATTTATTGACTGTTGACTTGATGTATTACAGATGAGGAAGTGAGAGTAGTGAACACTCCGCAGTTTGCGGAGTCTGTAACTGAGGGAGATGTGCGGTGGGAAAAAGGTGGGTCATATTATCTCAGCCATATCATTTCTCTCTTTCTCATGCACAGGCTATATCTTCATATACCCACATTCATATCTTCTCATGCACAGGCTATATATCTTCATATACCAACATTCATATCTTCTCATGCACAGGCTATATATCTTCATATACTCACATTCATATCTTCTCATGCACAGGCTATATATCTTCATGTTCCCACATTTAAATCTTCTCATGCACAGGCTATATATCTTCATATACCCACATTTAAATCTTCTCATGCACAGGCTATATATCTTCATATACCCACATTTAAATCTTCTTATGCACAGGCTATATTTCTTCTCATGCACAGGCTATATTTCTTCTCATGCACAGGCTATTTAGCCTCATATTCCCACTTTTATATCTTCTCATGCACAGGCTATGTGTCCTCATGTTTCCACATTTAAATCTTCTCATGCACAGGCTATATATCTTCATATACCCACATTCATATCTTCTCATGCACAGGCTATATATCTTCATATACCAACATTCATATCTTCTCATGCACAGGCTATATATCTTCATATACTCACATTCATATCTTCTCATGCACAGGCTATATATCTTCATGTTCCCACATTTAAATCTTCTCATGCACAGGCTATATATCTTCATATACCCACATTTAAATCTTCTCATGCACAGGCTATATATCTTCATATACCCACATTTAAATCTTCTTATGCACAGGCTATATTTCTTCTCATGCACAGGCTATATTTCTTCTCATGCACAGGCTATTTAGCCTCATATTCCCACTTTTATATCTTCTCATGCACAGGCTATGTGTCCTCATGTTTCCACATTTAAATCTTCTCATGCACAGGCTATATATCTTCATATACCCACATTTAAATCTTCTCATGCACAGGCTATATATCTTCATATACCCACATTTAAATCTTCTCATGCACAGGCTATATTTCTTCTCATGCACAGGCTATTTAGCCTCATATTCCCACTTTTATATCTTCTTATGCACAGGCTATGTGTCCTCATGTTTCCACATTTAAATCTTCTCATACACAGTCTATATTTCTTCTTATGCTCAGGCTATTTAGCCTCATATTCCCACTTTTATATCTTCTCATTCACAGGCTATGTGTCCTCATGTTCTCACATTTAAATCTTCTCATGCACAGGCTATTTAGCCTCATATTCCCACATTCATATCTTCTCATAGTCGGGGTTTGTTTCCTCATATTCCCAGATTCACACCTTTTCATGCTCAGGCTATTTAGCCTCATATTCCCACTTTTATATCTTCTCATGCACAGGCTATGTATTATTTTTCATATTCACACATTCATAAGCACTTTACGCACATTAGTCAATTTGGGTCAATAGTTTCTGAAGCTTTATCATGTCACGATCTGAGTAGTTCTGACTATGAAGAAATGTTGGCCTCTTCTCGTCCTGTTAGGACTCAAGGTATGAAACAAAGCGGATGAATCTTTCCTAAACCACTTTGATGTGTCCAATCTAGTGTATTACACAGTCTGTTGCCTTAGTCAGCAATAACTGGATTAATACTCAATTGTTATAGTATAACAGTCTACAAAACAGTCTGTGCTTGTCGCAAGAGGCGACTAACGGGATCGGGTGGTCGGGCTCACTGATTTGGTTGATGCATGTCATCATATCCCAATTGCGTGGATCGATGCTCATGATGTCAATCACTGGATTGTCTCGCCCAGACTCGATTATTTACAGACCGTTGTCATATAGCTGGAATATTGCTGAGTGCGGCGTTAAACGACAAACAAACAAACAAAGGTAAGATGTGCCGAGGGCAAGTTAACATCCAAAGAGGGTAGGCCTCCTCATAGCATTTGAGAGCCGTGTGTTGAGAGCCTGTTCTCAATGCTAAAGTTTGGCTACAAATATGAACTGAGAACAGAAAATGTAAACATGGTAAACAGGTTTGTCATGTTCAAGCTGGACTAGCTACAAACTCTGATGATTAGTGAAAAAGGCTGACACTAGTCCTCTGGTCTAGTCTTGAAAATACAAATTTCTAAGGCTGGTTTTGTTACATTAAGACCAATGACTTGTATTTCAGCTGTTGGCGATTTCGTAGGTGAGGATGATGTTGTGGCTGCGATCGAGACCGACAAGGTATGTATTGATGGCCAGGGATATATCTAGACCATCTCCAAGACAGATAGTTGGTGCCAAATCTTCAGCAAATGTCGGTACTAATTCCCAAAATGGAATGAAGAAATATACAGTATTTGAAGAAGCAAACCTCAAACACCCCATGACCCCCTTTGATTTCAAACACTGTTATTTACAAAGTTTTGAAATCCAAAGATTAAACTAATATTTGAGAAAGCCTTAAGGACCCTCCTATATTTGTTATACATGCTATATGTCACTCATTCTCTCAATGATAGAAATTGGCACCAGTCCTATAGTCCCTGCCAAACTGCCTAATAGTTAAGGCATCATTGGGACAAAAGAAATTTGCCATTTTTAAGGATTTTGCGATGTTATTACGAGGATTAGGCAACTGAAATATTAGTTTCTATCACCTTCTCTGTCCAGACGTCCATCCCTGTGCCCGCCCCTGTTGCTGGCATCATCGAGGAGTTGCTTGTGGAGGACGGCGGAACGGTCGCAGCGGGACAAGAACTCTTCAAGATCAAAATCACGGGTAAGATACCACTGTCAGTATTATCTGAATGATCCCCATATTGAAAGTAGAATAGGTCTTCAGCAACCCATGCTTGCCGTAAAAGGTGACTATGCTTGTCGTAAGAGGCTACTAACGGGATCGGGTGGTCAGGCTCGCTGACCTGGTTGATACATGGTCTACATTCACTACAGTATTTGCTTTCTTCAGTGTTTGCGATTCTTTTCCACCAACAGTGTAATTCTACCAGATCTGAAGATACTAAACAAGATTGGCTGGGTCATGAGATTAATTTTGAAGTCTGATGTAAATCTTTTCATTTGTAGGCGATGCCCCTCCCCCAAAAGCAGCCAAGGCTGAAGCTCCTGCACCAGCTGCAGCCCCTCCTCCCCCTCCCCCTCCACCCCCACCATCAGCAGGCCCCATACCCAGCACTCCACCCCCAGTTCCCCCGGTGCCCAAGGCCCCTCTGACCTCCACCCCAACCTCCTCTATCAAGGTGACCCCGTCAGCCGCCCCATCCCTGGACATGGGCTCTGGGGCGAGAGGAGAACAGAGGGTAAGTCCACATCTACGTCATTCTGTGGTTGAAATAGGTCCCCAGCAGCCCTTTATGTTCGTTGTAAGGGCTGACTGGAACATGGAATAGATGTCAGGCTCTGTGGCGGTGGGGTAGCCTTGTTCTTAAAAAGTTAGCTCATAATGCTGAAGATATGGGTATAATGTGTGAAGCTCGTTTCTGGTGTCCCCTGCCATGATATAGCTGGAATATTACAAAAAGTGGTGTAAAACAATACTCACTCTGTGACATAGCTGGTGGTATGTCTTCACACCCTGACGACGTGGGACACTGATTTTTCTGGTTTGTTTGGTCCAGACTTGAAAGGCCCATGTCTGGTGTCCCCTGCTTACACCAAATCCATGCTAGTCTGAGACTACTACATTGTGCTGAGGACAAGTAAAAATCCAATGATGGTCGTCCTGATTGACTTTTGACGAGTAGCAGTTGATGGCTATAGTTCTGGACCAGTTCTCAACACTTCAGTTTTGCTACAAATTGGAACTGAATCAACCAAACAGCCAATGTATATATATAAGAAAGTGTTATCCCAAATATGATGTTTCTTACATTTGACCATTTTCTATATGGCCTTGTGTGATCATAGCTTTCAGCCATGGGAGCTATGCCAATTTACACTGTTAGATGGGTACACTAAGTTTGTGATCTAGACTTCCAGTTGTCAGACTTTCATTTTGTGGAAACCTCAGTGGTTGAGTTGGTTAGATTGCTGACTTTGTGTGCTGGCGATTACATACGACACTGTGGCAGTGTGGGTTCGAATCCTGGATGGGACTCAACCCACAAAAGTACTAGAATCTGTAGAAAGAATGTGACATTATATAACATTTGTTACAATGTATACATAGCAAACAAGTTTGTCTTTTTTAAGTAGAACTAACTACAAACTCTGACTAGTGAAATATGTTTACACTAGTCGAACTAGTCTTGTGTTTCTGAGGCTGTGTTGACCATTTCAGGTGAAGATGAACAGGATGAGGCTTCGGATCGCCCAGAGGCTGAAGGACGCTCAGAACACCTGTGCCATGCTTACCACCTTTAATGAGATTGACATGAGGTAGTATAGCCCCGGGCCCTGTTCCACAAAGCCATCTTAGTTGTATGATGATCATCACTTCCATACTTTAACATAGACTTACGAACGTCGTAGCATGAAGATCGTTCTGTGGAATGGGGCCCAGGAAGACTTCTCTCTTGTCATGCATACTCCACTACACAGCATGTGGTCTCTACATCATTCCTTGTGACTATCCTTATGTTTACCTGGACTGAATTCTAGTGTGTCCTAGATAACCTAAATGGTATTTGATGTGCATGTTAGCCTATGGGATGTCCTTTGTATTTTGGGGGCAGTCGGGTAGCCTGGTTAATGCATTTGCTCTTTACCCCGAAGACCCGGGTTCGATTTCAGACATGGGTACAATGTGTGAAGCCCATTTCTGGAGTCCCCCGCTGTAATATTGCTGGAAAAATTGCTAAAAGCGGTGTAAAACCATACTCACTCTCACTCTTTGTATTTTGAAATTTGAGGACATGATAGTAGACCATTGAAGGGTCTGTGATGACATGGATAGTAGCGCATTGAAGGGTCTGTGATGACATGGATAGTAGACCATTGAAGGGTCTGTGATGACATGGATAGTAGACCATTGAAGGGTCTGTGATGACATGGATAGTAGACCATTGAGAAGTCTGTGATGACATGGATAGTAGACCATTGAAGGGTCTGTGATGACATGGATAGTAGACCATTGAAGGGTCTGTGATGACATGGATAGTAGACCATTGAAGGGTCTTGATTTAAATGGATAGTAGCCCATTGAAGGGTTTTTTGATGACATGGATAGTAGCTGATGGGATTGTATTTAAGGATGTTCTTAGAAGCCCATTGTAAGAGTTGTAAGTTTAAAGCTCATCGAAAATTATAACAAATTATTTTTGTTCACCACAAATGTAAATATTTTAAAGGAACTGACCCATCCTTATTCCCTGATTACTGACTTCCTCCATGTGAGACCTGTTACAGAGCACCTGCTGTGGACTTTGTTTTTACAGCAATGTGATGGGCATGAGAGCCCAGTTCAAGGAGGCCTTCCTCAAGAAGTTCGGGATCAAGCTGGGATTCATGTCGGCTTTCGTTAAGGCATCAGCGTTTGCCCTTCAAGATCAACCTGTGGTTAATGCTGTTATAGACGATATGGAAATTGTGTATAGAGACTATGTAGACATCAGTGTGGCTGTGTCTACACCCAAGGTACAACACGGAACACAGAAGTGTGGGGATCAGGGAGTGGTGTCAGGAATTTGGTTGGTGGGGGTGGGGGTGGTTAGGGGGAAAACAGGGGGGTTGGGGTCAGGGCGGGGTGGGGGTGGTTAGGGAGAAAACGGGGAGAAATGGATGGTTGAGTTCCTGGTGACGAGTGGTGAGTATTGGTTTGGCAGGGTGAAAGGGTGTAAATTGATTTGTTTGTTTTAGAGATAAGGGAATTTATGAAGAAAATATCAAAAGCAAAATCGGCAAGATAAATAAAAAAATGTATGCAAAATTATGTCCAATACTGGTTTACATAAGTCAAATTGTCAATAAATACTGTTACTGTGTTCAGTGTATATTGCAAAGTTAGCTACATTAATTAATCTATTTCTGTGATGATTTCAGGGTCTAGTTGTTCCAGTTATTAGGAATGTGGAGAGAATGAACTATGCAGACATTGAGAAGACAATCAATGACCTTGGAGAGAGGGTAGGTCATGTCAGTCAGGTCATGGAGACTAGCGATTACTAAGCTGATACACTTAGATATAGATTCACATGGTAATTGTTTAATGGAGAAGTGATGTGCCCTCCGATAATAAATGCTTTATAGAGAAATACCATGTCTTCAGATAATTATGTTTTTTAAAGAAATGACTTGTGCAGGGAGTTAGGATCATCTAATCAAAAGTAATTGTTTTGTAGATGAGTTGGTTGAAAGACTCGTTGCTTGTATTATACAGAAATGAGAATGTTGTAATGTTCACCGACATCCTAGACCTTGGTGTTATTCCGCGATAGCAAACACTGCAGTTGGGGCTGTCATAGATTGAAATACTCAAAATAACTTCAAGCTTTTATGTCTGATATTAAATCAGGTGTTTTGTTTCAGGCAAGAGCGGGTAGTCTGGCTGTAGAGGATATGGACGGTGGTACCTTCACCATCAGCAACGGCGGGGTTTTCGGCTCCATGTTCGGCACCCCCATCATCAACCCTCCCCAGTCTGCCATCCTCGGCATGCATGGAGTCTTTCAGCGGCCGGTCGCCTTGGAAGGGAAGGTAATAGGATCTCCATTGTAGACGCCATCGTAACTTGGGCTGTTGCTATCATCTTTTACCATCAGCCTTCGAAATTGGCACTAGACAACTAGCACACGACTACTAGAATGTGCTGAGGACAAGTAAAAATCCAATGATGTAGTCCTTATTGACAGTGGCATTTGAAGGCGATAATTCTGAACCACTTCACAAAACTTCAATTTTGCTACATATTGGAACTGACAGAAAATGTTAACATGGTAAACATTCGTGTGAAATGTCAAAACAAATTTCTAAGGCTGTGTATACTACTTGCTTGCTTGATATACCAACCCACTTACACCAAGGCAGTTGATTGCAATGCACTGTCACATTATTTTGCAGTGAACTGTGTGGCTGGGGATGTATCTGCTCTCCTCCTGTTAAGAGTCCACTAATGTCTCCCTACTGTAGGGATAGGTCAGGGGCCCTATGTGACCTTAATGTAGGGATAGGTCAGGGGCCCTATGTGACCTTACTGTAGGGATAGGTCGGGGGCCCTATGTGACCCTAATAATGTAGGGATAGGTCGGGGGCCCTATGTGACCCTAATAATGTAGGGATAGATTCGGGGCCCTATGTGACCCTAATAATGTAGGGATAGATTCGGGGCCCTATGTGACCCTAATAATGTAGGGATAGGTCAGGGGCCCTATGTGACCTTACTGTAGGGATAGGTTGGGGGCCCTATGTGACCCTAATAATGTAGGGAGAAGTCAGGGGCCCTATGTGACCCTAATAATGTAGAGATAGATTCGGGGCCCTAAGTGACCCTAATAATGTAGGGATAGGTTGGGGGCCCTATGTGACCCTAATAATGTAGGGATAGGTCAGGGGCCCTATGTGACCCTTATAATATAGGGATAGGTCGGGGGCCCTATGTGACCCTAATAATGTAGGTATAGGTCGGGGGCCCTATGTGACCCTAATAATGTAGGGATAGATTCGGGGCCCTATGTGACCCTAATAATGTAGGGATAGGTCGGGGGCCCTATGTGACCCTAATAATTTAGGGATAGTTCTGGGGCCCTATGTGACCCTAATAATGTAGGGATAGGTCGGGGGCCCTATGTGACCCTAATAATGTAGGGAAAGATTCGGGGCCCTATGTGACCCTAATAATGTATGGATAGGTCAGGTGCCCTAAGTGACCCTTATAATGTATGGATAGGTCGGGGGCCCTATGTGACCGTAATGTAGGGATAGGTCAGGGGCCCTATGTTACCCTACTGTAGGGATAGGTCAGGGGCCCTATGTGACCCTAATAATGTAGGGATAGTTCAGGGGCCCTATGTGACCCTAATAATGTAGGTATAGGTCAGGGGCCCTATGTGACCCTAATAATGTAGGTATAGGTTGGGGGCCCTATGTGACCCTAATAATGTAGGGATAGGTCGGGGGCCCTATGTGACCCTGATAATGTAGGGATAGGTCCGGGGCCCTATTCGACCCTAATAATGTTGGGATAGGTCAGGGGCCCTATGTGACCCTACCATAGGGATAGGTCGGGGGCCCTATGTGACCGTAATGTAGGGATAGGTCGGGGGCCCTATGTGACCGTAATGTAGGGATAGGTCCGGGGCCCTATGTGACCCTAATAATGTAGGGATAGGTCTGGGGCCCTATGTGACCCTAGTAATGTAGGGATAGGTCGGGGGCCCTATGTGACCGTAATGTAGGGATAGGTCCGGGGCCCTATGTGACCCTAATAATGTAGGGATAGGTCGGGGGCCCTATGTGACCCTGATAATGTAGGGATAGGTCTATTCGACCCTAATAATGTTAGTATAGGTCAGGGGCCCTATGTGACCCTACCGTAGGGATAGGTCGGGGGCCCTATGTGACCGTAATGTAGGGATAGGTCGGGGGCCCTATGTGACCGTAATGTAGGGATAGGTCCGGGGCCCTATGTGACCCTAATAATGTAGGGATAGGTCAGGGCCCTATGTGACCCTATTGAAGGGATAGTTCGGGGAGCCCTACCTGTTTGTGCCCACTTGTGTCACCCTAATGCTGAATGTTGTTGTTTCAGGTGGAGATCCGCCCCATGATGTACGTCGCCCTCACCTATGATCATAGACTTGTAGATGGGAGAGAGGCTGTCCTCTTTCTGAGAAAAATAAAATCCGCAGTTGAGGACCCCAGAGTTCTACTATTGGACTTGTAATATACAAGCAAATGTGTTGTAGAAATTTATTGTGCCTAATTCTTATGGAGGAGACTATATTCCGGAGAATGCATTGTGTTCTGAGAATCTCTGAGGAGCATCTACAGCTGTCGCAACATCGCTGGTCTCGCACCATCGGCCTCGCAGCACTGACACAAGCCACAAGTCTGTGTATAAATGTGTGTTTGATGGTTTTAATATTCTGTTTCACATTTCAACAAATACATTTAATTTTGAGGAAATATTTATTTGAATAAATTATCTACTTATTTGATATGTTTGATTGGCTATGTGACAAATATTGATTTGCTCTTTAAGTTTTTTATGGCTTTATGCTATTGATAATTAAGTATTATATATCAGAATATTAAGGCTTACTTTCCGATACATAAAACGTGGTGGATTATATTATTTCCACTGATATTTCCATTCAAGTGCTCATTAATCATCAATAGTTATTCAGACAGAAATTCAATTGATTATTTAAGATATGGAAAATTCAATGTCCGTTTGAGATTTCCTGGACTATGCGATGATGTTTGAGTGGGGCTATGTCGAATGCTCTGTGTGATGAGTGAGTCAGAGTGACCTTTACTCCTGGGTCATGGTGACCTCCTTCCAGGTCACAGTATTGGTGGCAGGTAGAAGTCGTACTGTTTCATGTGTTGGCTCATCCATGTGATTGATGTCAACATCAGGTATATTTTCTAGCAGTAAAGTATTTTAGTTGTTTATTTCTTGGTATTTGTTGTATTTTGTACCATAAACAGGGCTGAGATAAATGACAAGGAATTGTGGTTTTGTTTTACCTGTATTCAAGTGTTCTCTTTAAGGTGTTGAGGCCTGGTTTGGATATTACTGCTTGGTCTGTCAGAATGGGACTGCAAACTCTGCTGATCGTGAGTTACTGTAGGTCCCGAGCAGCCTATGCTGGTCCTAAGTGGTGATTCTGGGTTAGTCTTGGTACCCAGCAGCCTATGCCGGTCGTTAGTGGTGATTCTGGGTTAGTCTTGGTACCCAGCAGCCTATGCCGGTCGTTAGTGGTGATTCTGGGTTAGTCTTGGTACCCAGCAGCCTATGCCGGTCGTTAGTGGTGATTCTGGGTTAGTCTTGGTACCCAGCAACCTATGCTGGTCGTAAGAGGCGAAGAAATGGATAGTGTCTTCAGGATCTGGGACTTGGTTGATTGTGTGTCGTCTATCAGTCTACTGGATTGTCTGGTCCGCCCTCAAATATTCATATTCTTGTGATCACACTTAATTAATTAAACAATATATTGCAAACGTATTCTGTGATATATGTTTTTTTTCACTTTCTTTATGAGGTTGCACAGTTCACTGGTGAACTGTGTATTTCATGCATTTATACAGGGCGATGTTGTCGGTGTTCCTAGAAATGAAAATAGCAAAATAGTCATGTATTTCTTGTTTTGTTTCTTTATTGTTTGACACCAAACTCAGCAATATTCCAGCTATGTGACGTTGACCTGTAAATAACCTAGTCTGTACCAGACAATCCAGTGATTGGCATCATGTGCATCGATCTATGAATTTAGGATACATGCCATGCATAAACGAGCCTGACCACAGATCCCGTTGGTCGCCTCTTACGACAAGCACAGTCACCTCTTAGGACAAGTTTGGGTTTGCTGAAGACCAATCCTAACCCTGATCATCTGTGTTTGATATTCACCTGTAGATGCTTGTTAACAACAGGACGCAATATGGGGTATTTGTGGACTAACACTGTATCCTCTTCATAGCCAAAAGAACTTTATATTTAGTAGATTCAATCTTGTACTTGGGTGTGATAACTGATTGTCAGACTTGCCACAGTTGTCATGGAGCAACCCATGCTTGCCACTAAAGGCGACTATGCGTGTACGTAAGCGACTAATAAGATCGGGTAGTCAGGCTCGCTGACTTGGTTGATGTATGTTATCGTATCCCAATTGCGTGGATCGATTCTTATGATATCAATCACTGGATTGTCTGGTCCAGACTCGATTATTTACAGACAGTCGTCATATAGCTGGAATATTGCTGAGTGTCGCGTTAAACAACTAGCAAACAAAACAGTTGTCGTGGCATGACAGATTAATTACAATAAGACGAAACAATGGGAGTTCCTCACTTCTTTTGAGTAGTGTATGTTCCCAGTACGCGTGGAAGATGACCTGAGATGTATCGGGTGGAACCGTTATGTTTAGATGTTCTCGACGCTGCATCGTCGGCAGTCATTCGCTAGCTTATTTCTTGAAGTGTGTTCGCGTTGTCTGGACAAATAGCTATCAGCCGCTGAGAAATGTGACGCGAGTCGTTTGTGTTTACTGAGACGCTGTGCACTTAACAGGTAAATCTTCAGTGTCATCGTCTGAAGAGATCCCCGTGTTACCAATGAGATAATATATGCTGACAAACAGGCAACACGCGATTCTGAGCTTAATCGAAATAAGAAACGAGCTCCCTTGTAGGTTAGAGGAATGTTATTACCGTCAAGGATTCTGACCATATAGTTGATCCCTGCATCGTGTTGTCCATGTTTCACTGTATAGTGGGGTACCCTATTCGTTTAATTGCTTCTGAGATCGAGAGAATCACGGTGAAACGATTTTTTGTGTTAATACTTTATTTCTGAAATCAGTTCTCCGTTAACACGTGACCAATACGATATTTTTTCCAGAAGTCACTCTCGCCATGATTCAAATTTGACAAAGAAAATGGAATAAGATCAAAAATATCTTTTTCAATTTTGTTTCATCGTTTTTTTCAATTTCAAGATTTTTGTTTGGGAATATGAATGGTTAAACGTAGTCTGTAGTATGCCTACGAGCAGAGCCGATGGTTCTTCCGGCCTAGGAGATTCCAGAGGTCACCACTGTCCGACCCGAACGTCTTGAATCGTAGTAACCTGTCATTTTGGGAAAGGTGCCGAAAAGCCGTCGTGAAGGAGTAGATAGGTGTCCAGTACTGAGGTAATGTATGTCTAGCGTTACTGGCTGTTCAAACGAAGCAGTAGAGATGAAGGCATGCTTCGGTCGAAGAGAATGTCGCCCACCTACTGCGTTGACATCGGACTGTACTTAAGTCGAAAAACAACTTGCTCGTTTCATTGACGTGCCTGTGTGTATTTCTGTGCCTAAGACGATCGGGTGGGGTTGTCCCCGGGGACGGCGCGAGGGCCATGCTGGTACAAGCCTATAGTTATACTACTCAAAAGAAGTTAAAGAGCATCCGACTTTTTCATAATGCTAGTTAATCTGTTATCCCGTGAAAGATCAAAGAACCGTGTGTTCTTTAACCCCTTGAGTAGTATGCATCGATTTTGGATAAACGATTTTAATATGAACGATTTACGAAGTTGAACTTGTATGTTTGGTTCGTGTTTTTATATATTAAGCAACTAGAATTTTAGGGGAGGGATCCAGATACCGGAAACATAATTGTAACTTTTTTCAAAGAGCACACTGGAATCTTATCGGAATTTATCTCGCCTTGACCAAGTATAGGGGTGTTTATTGCCATGTATTTTCAGCTAAGGTGAGCTGCGAGCTATTTATATACTACCCGAGTTGTCGCCTGTTCGAGAAACGTGGAAATTGGAGTGGACACTTAACACTATTGCTTTATATATAACTTCAAATGTAATTAAAATCTAGATACAAGAAGTATCTTCATATCAACTAAAACGTTCAAATTTATTAACAATTTTACTTTTACTTGCAAAAATGATATTAGCTTCTTTAATTAATAACGTTTAATAAATACGTTTCAATGTCTTAGGAGGACAACTCATAACTGACCACCATAGTATTGGTCTTCAGCAACCCATGCTTGTCCCAAGACGCGACTTGGGCGGTCAAGCTCGCTGACTTGGTTGATGCATGTAATCCTATCCCAATTTCGTAGATGGATGCTCATGATGTCAACTACCGGATTGTCTGGTCTAGACTCGATCGCCGCCGCTCGAATATTACCTAGTGCGACGATAAACAACAAACATGACTAAGTTTCAGGTCTAGTATTGCCTGTTCGAGCGAATGTTGTTTTACGCCATAGGCAACACTTTCGATGCTACATCACGGCGATCTGTGAGTGAGTGAGTGAATATGGTTTTACGCCGCTTTTAGCAATATTCCAGCAATATCACGGCGGGGGACACCAGAAATGGGCTTCACACATTGTACCCATGTCGGGAATCGAACCCGGGTCTTCGGCGTGACGAGCGCTTTAACCACTAGGCTACCCGACCGCCCCCACGGCGATCTGTAATCAATCGAGCCTGGACACAGTGTGATTAACATCAGTATTTTACCCCACACGACCCCTCTGTGCTCAGATCTGAGGACACCCATTAAAAGGTCGTGTCGGGTAAACCCTGAATGAACTTTGACCGCCCAATCTAAATGAAGGGTGCGTGGGTTTATGAGTCATTCATTTTCAGTCATTTTAGGCATTCATGCTTTCTATAACGGCTTCATTTTCTTACCACCGAATCGCAAATTACGATTGTACAAACGAAAACCCCAAGATAACACAAACATTCCTTCGATGGGACTCCCTTTTCCCCGAAAAGATGCCAAAGCCCTCAGAAACAACAGGCAGTGTGCAATAGCCACAATAACATAATCGCTCTATTTTCTCGTTTCGGAATTTGTCGTTTTAGTTTGTTTTCGAGATAGATACGGGAATGAGATATAGATACGGGAATGAGATATGCAGGTTTGAATATAGACTTATATTAAGTCAGAGAATCAAGTTAACTTTTAAAATCCTGATTTCAATGGGATTGGTTCGGATAAGGCAAACCTGCGGTTTATCAGCTTGGCTATAGTATGTCGTCATTCACTGGAGTTGTCTCTTGATGGTGATCATGGAGTACATGGACCTCAGCGTAATCAAACCAGGGCTTCCTTCAATCGGAATAGTAGTCATTAGAAGTGGCGGTGGTTTTTTCGGTTTTTGTTGTTGTTTGACATCGCTCTCAGCCATATTCAGGTATTATGACGGCGGTCTGTAAATAATCGAGTCTGGACCAGACAATCCAGAATTGTAAAAAGTGTAAAGTCTTGTTTTTGAGACGTTTTCAACCGTGCTAAAATTAACATTTATTTTTTATATTGACGGCGTTAACGACTTCACCAAGAAACATTATTTATGGTATACAAACTGTTAGTTCCACAGGAACCCAAAGCCGAATTGACAAAGGAATTGGTTCACTTTTGAGACCCGTTACATTTATCTTATTAGCTTCTAATAACAGATTATAACATCGTTTTAGAATATTCTTTGATTTGATCCTGTAGTTTACCATTCGTTTATATGAAATAATGCAGGGAGCATCACATTCACCAATAACGATGTTATCAGGCGTTGACGACTCCCCGCCTCTATGTACCAGGGATAGTTTCAACATCTGATAAATTGTCTAATCCTCACTCTTCTGAGCCATATACAATAATTGGGACTACTTTACGAAAATATTGAAAACTAAATTAAAAGTAATCGGGGTAAAGCAATACAAGGCTCGTATTGCACCTTGTGGAACTTTCTTGTCTGGGATGCAGTTTAAGAATATGTAGTTTGACATTTTAAATACCAATCGACTATTGAGTTAACCAAACAGAATATTGAATATCTAATGTTTGTAAATTGTCTGAGAGAAGTACATACATTAGTTAAAGACTTTAAGGTACATTCCACTGGTGCGTTCACCGCCTTCCTATATCCTATAT